GACGCAGGAAGTTTTAGTGTAGCGTTCCCAATTCGCTTCAAAGAAAAAATGTGAAATTTTCCCAAATTGCTTCAAATTTGAAAATTCACCCCCCTACACACACACATGAAATTTGGTTGGCATGTCTAGCATAGCAATTACTTTTATTCGTGACATGTATATTCTAAAATAATCACCTATCAGATTTTTTTTCTGCCAAACAGAATTTGGAAAAAAACAAACAAACACATTTTGGTTACACCCTCCAATTAAGGTGCAACGTTCACCCCGACCTCAGCTCCCATTGTCACTCAATCGCCTACACCATTAAAGACAGACATCCAACACAGTACTTTCAGAGAAATCTCAATTTCATGGAGCTGGAACCAATGGATTCCGGATTTCACGGACAGAAAATGGTGTCCACTCCGCTCAAAATGCCCGTTTGTACAGTAGCTGTTAAAGTCTGTTCGTTAAAGATTTGCAGCCAAGTGTGGCCAATTCAAGACTGGTTACGCTGTGGTCACGGGTATACAGTTTCAGACTAGAACAGGCTCACAGTTCATATCTTGGTGGCGGCCATGTTGGCAGGGGCGACAATCCCATCAAAGGAAAGCAATGGAAAGCCTTGACATTAGCTTAGCATCGCCGTAGCTCAAAACGAGCATGTCGTGTCTACCTATTTATATCTTTGGCTTTTATTTCAGTATTTTAACGTAATTCAAGCAGCCCCCCCCCCCACACACACACACACATACATCTCTCGCTCGTGGTTGCGCACGCGCTCCCCCTCACTCTCTCTGTCCTGAGGCGAGAGCATCCTTTGCATCCTGCGCTAAATAAAGTCAAGCTGATGTGACTTTCATGTGGCATGTGTGTGCGTGTGTGCGCGTGCGTGTGTGTGTGCGTAAGTGAGAGAGTGAGATGGAGAGAGATAAATGCCGCTGTCACGCTGTGCGGCGGGCTCTGTCGCTTTGATAAATCTGGCCCGCCATTTGACGACACCTGCTGACAAGCACGCCTCCGCCTGATTGGTTGGCAAGGCTCCCGCTCAGGGAGGACGCTAATGGATATGATGGACAACAAGTGACACACACACACACACACACACACACACACACACACACACACACACACACACACACACACACAAAATCTTGGGTTGGCGTGGGGGGACTTGAACAAGTAGGTCACACATGCCTTGTATACGTAGACATACACACACTTGTGTAAGTTATTAGCAGGGCAATTAGCGCTAATGACCGCCAGTCTGACTCACCTGATTGGCCTAATTAAGTTGCTCATTAGCATACGTGTCCATGTCAGGGATTGTCAGCAAACAATTAGATGCAAAGGGATGATTTATTAACATAAAAACTGGTTGTCTAAACATGGTTTAATTAAGGCTTTATTTGCAGAAAAATTTTTGTTGTTGTTTTTTTTTGGGGGGGGGAGGGTTTGCATGAATTATTGCTTAGTCTTTATTCTTAACAATTTCTAATCGTGTAGAATGTTTTTTTTCCCCTACTCCAAATATGATCTTACCTCTTTCGTCTGGTAAAATACAAACATGCTCCTCATAACATTACAACTGTATTCCAATAAAATGGCATCCCCCCCTCTGCCATCAACGACCAAATTTTCCTTTAGTACACAAAAATCGGTTTGTGTTTTGTTCTTCTAATTAAAAAATAGAACTTTATAAATCTGTACAGTGGTGATACAATTCAATTGATTGAAAACAATTAAGTTTGTGCCACATTTTTTTTTAACTTCTATTCAATGGATATTGTGCTGCTTCTTCTGGTTTGTGCAGCTTGGCCAACTTGGGGCCGTGTAATACACGCAAACAGATACAAATGAAGGTGGTTGGTAAGTAAAATTGCAGTAAAATGAGTCACGCTTTGCATTGGATAAAGAAAACCTGCTTGTTGGTAATGCCGTATAGTCTCTCAACATCCATACCTTGAAGGGTTGAACCCTACAACCATGATGCTATTCATTAGCCCATCTTTGACATTTTGCACTGTTTGTTAGCATTAAGATAAACAGATTTTTTTTAAAAAGCAAACCTATGTGGTTGTTTTAAATAAACAATGCATAATTCTTTTTGTTTTATGTTTACATTGACAGTAAACTACACCTGGGGGTGTCAATAAATGGGTGTTGCTACTAGCGATACATGCTGCCATATCACTTCTAGTCCATTGCATCAAATTGCTTGCATCCAACTTCGGAATTTTCGTACATTGCGTACACACACACACACACACGCACACACACACACACACACACACACACACACACACACACACACACACATACACATTGAGTTATGAAGTGATTAACTGTCAAACTGCACAGCCCAAGAGGTCAGCAAAGGTTGCTATTGATTTACATAGACAGATGAAGAGTCCTATTAGGAGCGTGTGTGTGTGTGTGTGTGTGTGTGTGTGTGTGTGTGTGTGTGTGTGTGTGTGTGTGTGTGTGTGTGTGAGTGTGTGTGTGCGTGTGTGTGCTGCTGTTGTGTGTGCGAGCACTTGGTGTTACCATGGTGATCATGAGTCTGCAATGCATGATGAGGCCATAGCCCAGTGAAAGTTCACAAGTCTGTGCGTGTGTGTGTGCGTGTGTGTGTGTGTGTGTGTGTGTGTGTGTGTGTGTGTGTGTGTGTGTGTGTGTGTGTGTGTGTGTGTGTGTGTGTGTGTGTGTGTGTGCGCGCGCGCACCCCCCAATGTTCATGTGTATATGCAACCATTGTTAGTCATTTAGTGCCATTGGGTATAGAAAAACTAAAAGCTACCAAATAATGAGAGAAGCAACGGTAACGCTTATGCTTGTGTGTGTGTGCATGTGTGCACACATTGTTATGCCATTGAGCATATGTGAATTTGGAGACCAACATATTTTCCAGGACCACAAAGTTTTAAATGAGTAAATGACTAGTAGTAAAAAACGAGTAAAAAAATTACTTTTTCTGTTCGAGTGACAATCTGCTTTCTTATAATATTACAAATTTATTCTGGTAAAATAATAAAAAAATAAAAAAATTCAGAAAACAAAATTATGTGAAGAAAATAGAACATTCAATGCTGTCTGGGCAGATTCATTTGCATTGACATCTGATGAGAGCAGGTTACCAGAATGCCTAATTTGTGGTGACGTAAACTTCATGATAACGACCAGTCCTTCGTTACAACGAACCGTGGGAAGGTAACTGTCGCCGCAACCTTGCTTTTGAACAAAATGTAATGCTTGGGGTTTCCCACTGTGTCACGTGTTTAAGGTCAAGTGGTAAGACTTTGATGTCGAGAAAGTGGCAGATGCTGCCTTCTAGCGTTAGAAAGGGGTATTGCGTGCAATGCTTCATACAGTAAACAAATGCAAATGAACTTTTACGTCCTTATTTTTATGGTGTACTTTGCTCAACACACAATCACAATTGAGTTGATCACACATTATGTACCATATAACTATGTTTGCATCCATCTTTTTGTGAAAATGGTTCAATTCAGAGAAGGGTCTTGATGGTCTTGCGCAACTCCTCGTCCCTCACACTAATATATTCATTACCGTACACTAATATATTCATGACTGTCATTAACCTTCGTGCTGCAGCGTCCCCCGTTTATCTAATTACTACCCCCCTCCCCCCACTTGCCACCATTCTGCTGCCCCACCTGTTGTCTGACAAATGAACGGTCTCGCCTCACCGCTCGCGTGACAATGTCAACAGATGGGGGACAGGCGCGCGTACACACACACACAGACACACTCACAGACACCCTCGCATTTTCATCTACTGGTGTAAAATGAAGAACATATGTTATTGAAAAAAAAAAGCCTTGATGATGCTTACGAGAAAGCGGGCAAGGAGGGGGAAAAAAAGATGATGTGTTCATTTGTCTTTTCAATGGACTGAAAGACATTTCAAATTGACACGCAGTTTTCACCATTCACTCCTGTTTTAGTTTTACTGTTCCATTTTACAAGTATTATGTGCCCGTGAGAGGCACGCTGCCTGCTACAAAGGTTGGGGGTGTGAGCCGGTGACCCTTCAGTTAGAGGCCGCGTTCTACCCACTTGGCGAGCGCTATTCAATAGTTTCTGCTTGGCTGGCTTGAAGATAGCGTATGACAGACAACACATATGCTCACAACACAACCATCTGGACATCTGCTTCCTGCAGGCTGAAGCCCTTCTTTTGATGATTTACTTTTCTACAATCCTAACTTCATCCCCATGCTAATTCCTAACCCCCCGCCACCCCCAAGTTTCCTCTGACCCGAACTCTTGATTCTAAATTCTAGGTTGGAAGAGCCACCACACACTGAGCTAGGCGACAAAATGTGACGAAAGTGGTATGCCGTGTGCGGGGTTGTACAACTCATCCTCGTGCGTGGCCGACCGTTGCCGAAGAGTTCTGCAGCGATTTGAGGTGCAGTGTACATTAACACAAAAAAATATTACTAACATGCACAAAGACTTTGTTTTTTTTTCTCCTCTACACCCGTCGCAATCGCGATCGACGTAATGGGCACCCCTGTTGTAACGGCTAATAACAAATTATATGTTGTAGCAGTTGTAGCACAAAATCTCACACCATCAAAATGACATTTGCGGGGACCAAGCAGGATCCAGTAACGCCGCCACGAAACTGTTCCAATATTCACTTTCAGACATTTCTCATTTCATACTTACCTTTGGCTACAAAGCAATGCACTATTGCAATCAAGAATAACGATGTTTACATGCAGTCAATAGTCAGGACAAAGGCCCAAAGAAATCACTGAACTAAATGTAGAGCTGGCAGTGAGTGTCACATGGTTCATAAAAAAAAAAAAAAAAAAAAAGAGAGCAGTAAGTCACAGTAAACACATTTTAGGATGACAACAACAGCAGTGGCTAAGAAGCTGTCATCAAATAGCAAAAAAAAAAAAAAAAGCATGAATGTTTCACTTTGAGAAAGTCCTAAGTAGTACGAGTGTAACACTGTAGGGCGACAATCATATAACAATAGGTCGAATAAGACATTTATTTTGTGTAAAAATGCAGACAATTAGCTCCTGTGCAACAAAACAATGGGCGGTTGAGCTCATTGCCACAAAATCATGCAAAACAAAGCAAAATACAAACAAACAAACAACAAAACAAACAAAAAGACAAAAAATAAATCGCTATCCTTCCACAAGAAACAACATGTCACATCCTAAATCATACTTTCATATCCTTCTTAAAGCATTCACATCGCATCCATCGGATCTACGAAGTGCGGGAAGTGATGGCAAATAAGCAGAGATCAACATGAGATGAACCCAAGAGTTCTAAAAGGCAAAAACACCTCCGAAAATTCAGTACATAGTGTAATTCTTTTTTTGTTTAATGACAAAAGTTGCAGTTGTGTTGCTTAGATGTGCTCTGCTATACTTCCGGTCACTTCAAATGTCTTCACAACAACAAAGTCTTTGTTCCTTTTGCTGCATTTTGCTTTAAAAAAAAAAAAAAAAAAGAAGAAAAATCCAGACCCAACATCAGTAGCAATCCAGACCCAACGAGTGGATCAGTTGCAGCAGGAGAAGTTGGGCTTTTTCCTGGGAGCGTCTAAATTGGGCAGCGACTGGTAATGAGCTGTCTGGTCCAACTTAGCGTGTTTGGTCAGCTCCCTGAGTTACAAGATAGGAAGCATGATTTGAATTGCAAAAATATGCCTTTAAGATAAGAAAGAAATACAGGGGGACCTTTACGTGATGATTCAATTTCTCATTGCATTATTATTTTTTTGATGACCAAAAAACACCCTACAATTTTTTAATGACATTTTTAACAAAGGCAAATAGCTCTGTATTGTATCAAAAGGCAATAAGAAATAAACTGTTCATAATGTAGTATTCGTGTGTTGGATGTGTACCTTTAAGAGGCCGTGTAGCTGAAGCTCGTTAGTAAGTCACATTTGTTAAAATGTAAAATAAAAAAATAAAAAAAATCTAATGAATGCAGGCAATGGCTCCGAAAATAGTTGCGAGTTGTGGCACTGGTAAGTGAGGGTATGATTGTATGTGGTCGTACACTTTTGGAGGGCAGCAAAGCTTACCTGGCAAGATGCAGCACGGCTTCCAGGATGTTGGAGCCATCTTTGGCACTGGTTTCACAGAACAGAGTGTTGTAGGTCTGATGGAATCAACATGAGACAAGACAGTATTATATCGTCAGCCTCTTAAAGTAATGACCGAAGTCAATTTTTTTTTTTCCTCAGGATGTCGGCCACCTCTGCTAAAATCGGCTCCGTCCTTCGTTCAACAGATCATTCAAATCTAGGCCTGAAATGAAATTATTAATATGTAAAATTAAATCAAAATGTGGTTCAGTTTTTTGGGGTGTTTTCTGAAAAATGGACAATTATTTTAACCCTTTCAGGCACAGTGGTGAGAGAGAGGGAGAGAGAGAGAGAGAGAGAGAGAGAGAGAGAGAGAGAGAGAGAGACCATTGTCCGGAAAAAAAAGAAACCTCTATCCATCCATCCATCCATCCCGGGGAGCTTGTTTAACCGCCTTTTGAGCAGAAGCACCTTTGTCTCAAGCCAAACTGTGGCACGGTTTTTGCTTTTGAGTTTCTGGACCCGGATTTGACACCTCTGATCCTTTGTTAGTCACTGAAAAACTCGCCTTACATAAAACGAATGCTTTGCCGTCCGTCACGTGATGGCATCTTGGTGCCAAGCAACTGTGTTGAACTGAGGGGTGGAGATTCTTTTTTTTTTTACTCTGGCCTAAACTTTGTCTCATCAAAAAAAAGGGCATTGTTGCCATTTTGTGGCATCTAATGGCGGTTCCAAAACTTTTTGTGTGGGCGGCAATTGGATTTTTGCCCTTCGCATCAGTGTTTGGTCTCTATGCCCAACAAAGAGTGAGAGTTGACTCTCTGTTTGGATCATCATCATAATAACAACGGTGATCCTTGCCATTGCCAGCTTCTCGCCATAGCTGGTGGGCACACAGTTGGCCGCCCCTTGCCTGAGGTCACACTTGTTACCAACCAGCATGATGGGGATGTCCTCCTGAGATATGTCCTGTCGACACACACACACACACACACACACACACACACACGCTCGCGCACTCGGACACACTAATCCCTCTGGGAGCCCGAGGGGCAGCGTCACACACACACACACACACACACACACACACACACACACACACACATCACTGACAACATCACAGCAGAGCATCATCACACAAGACAAGAGTCCTCTGATAACACTTACACATCTGCTGCTTGTTTAAAAAAAAGAGAGAAACAAGGATAGAATAAACATCCAAACGTTAGAATGTCAAGTGAGAGTCAGACATTTGCCGGTTACCTCGATCATGTCTACCCACTCCCTCACGTTCAAGAAGCTCCTCTCACATGTCACGTCATACAGCAGCAGAACGCCATCAGCTCGCCGGAAGTAAGATTTGGCGATGCTGCGGAATCTGGACACAGGATAACATTCATAACGTCTCACACACACACACACACACACACACACACACACACACACACACACACACACACGCTCGCGCAGTCGGGCACATACTAGTACGCACACACCTCTCCTGTCCAGCAGTGTCCCATATTTGTAACAGAGTGGGCTCGCCATCTACCATGAACGTCTTCATTTGGAAATCCACGCCTGAAAATAAAATAAAATCAAATAAATACTAATTATTATTATATTAAAAAAATACAGCAACAAAAAAATCAGGATGTCGCACAGTAACCATAGATATAATACTAAAAATAATCAAACACAAGAATCAAATAAAGTAAAAATATATCTATATTTCAAAACATTAAACAAGCAGTAAAAAAAGGACAAAACATTTGGCCTATTGACCGAATTTAAAGCACAGTATGTAATAATGTGGGCTTCTTGTGCCAGGGCTCTTGATGCAGAGTAATTTTTGCCAATCTTGTAAATAAATATGTACAGAAGGCAATATTTAAAAAGGGTGTAAAAAAAATGACGTCATATACAACAGATGTGCTAAAAATTAAATTCCTACATTCTGTTATTTTAAACCATGATTCACATGTTATGTAATCATGTCTCGAAAGAAATGATCCCATTTGTGTTATGTGTGTCAATATTAAACATTTTATTGTCCAACAAAGTTTCTACTAGAATATGCTAACACGCTGGTTGGTTCACCGGCATCATTGACTCCTAAAATAGACATCGTCAACTCATTTTTTTTTTTTTTTTTTAATTAGCTGTCACTTTAACCCTTTCATGGACAACGGTTACGACAGTGGACAGCTGATCATGTTATCAGGTTACAAGTTATCATTATTGGTGCATGAAAGGGTTAAGTTGCAATTCGCACATTATTGCTTTCAAAGTTATGCTTCAAATCATGACTGACAGATGGCTTCAAACTCGATCATCACAAAGCATTGATTGAAAGGTGCTGATCTCACCGAGGGTTGCGTTGGAGTTGAGTTTGAACTCGTTCTTGCAGAGTCGCAACAGGAAGCTGGACTTGCCCACGGCGGCGTCTCCGGCCATCACGATCCTGTAAGCCTTCTCGGACGTCATGTAGCCTAAGTCGCAACTGTCCTTGTCCTCCCTCTAAGGACAACAACGTGGGGACATCCCACTGTCTTATATCGCTGCTTGAACCTTTCCATGTCGTTTCGGTCAAATTTGACCTGTGAATCTCACCTGCACACTGATGGCGCTGATGGCTTTTCTGGTGTGCGTGGGGGCGGTGGTGGTTTGGTCCGTAGAGGAGGGCGCCCGAACAGGTTCGGACGGCTTCCAGTCCAGAACGGAGCTGCTGTCAGAACCAAACGCTGACTCGCCATCTTGAGTCTCTGCCGGCTGCCGTGTCAAGTCACACAACAACACAAGCAAATATCAGAAATACGCGGCATCAGACACATCAACAATTACCGTAGATTGTACCAGTGTACCGAATGTAGTGGCCTGTTTATGCGCATCAAAACACAAATGCATAGCAATCAAATCAATTGGTGACCTAATAGTATGCATTGAAAAATTGGAGGATGCCCGCTGGGGTTTGTTGTGGCCGTCTACTCGACTTCGAGTGGGTTGTTTTTGTGTGTTGTTGATTCTTGATTTGACCACCAGAGGGCAGCAAAGGTATTTTTATGGCTTTTGCTCAACTTGTCAATTAATTCAACATCTGATCAGGGACAAGCAATTCCTGGAAGCACTTCTGCCTCACATTGTTGAGATTAGGGGTTCACGTCTTTGCTCCGTCCTTCCTGTGGGCTGTTTGCCAAAATATGATATGAAATATTGATAGTCATTTTTCAGATGTATTATTTTGTTATGACATTATTATGACTTCAAGATGGCGCCGCGAGAGTGGCTGCCTTTAGAGCAGCTCCTACACTTTTTGTTCTTCTACTTTCTTCCTTTCATAACTTTGCTGCTGTAAATTGGGAATTTCTCCATTGTGAGACGAATAAAGGTTTTCTTATTATTCTTATGCTCCTTCACACCACGAACATTAAAATACAGTAACATAGTCGGTCTAAGTCATCATCAAAAATGAGGCGGTGGTTTTATTGTTAAAAATTAAAGTATAGGAACAAATACTGTGCATAAATGTTAAAACACTCAATGCACATTTGCATAATTCATTCGTCACCTCAGTGTCAGAGGTCTCCTCAGTCAAGCTTTTGGCGACAAACTCCTCCCTTTTCTTGGTCACCTCTTCTGCCTCCTCCTCCTCCTCCTCCTCCTGCTCCTCCTCCTCTTCCAGGCCTTTGACCTCCTGCTCTGAGTCGTATCCACCGTGCGAGCCTCGCAGCGTGGACAGGCCGCTGTCCATGTAGATTTCGGGCAGGCTGTCCTCCTCACATTCGCTGCTGTTCCGCCGTTTCAGGCCCGGGTCGCACAGCGCCAGTGCCAGTGAGTCGCTGCTGGGTCGTCGGCCATAAATGGAGAAGTCGTCAGGACGCTGGCAGAACCTGACAAGAGGAAGCAGAAAGAAGCGTAAACAACAGAGCAGGGATGGTCAACTGGCAGCCCGCAAATTAATTTAAATGATTTAAAAAAAAAAAACACCTTATAAAAATTGGGGGCGGAAAAATCAAAAAACCCTGATAAAATTCATGCTACATTTTCGACAAAAAAACAGAGGGAAAAATTGGAATCGAGTAAAAAATTTGAAAAATCCAAAATGTGAAATGAGATATATCAAAAAAACGCTGGTAAAATTGATTATACATTTTCTACAAAAAAACAGGGAAAGATTAGAATCAAGTAAAAAATGTGAAAAATCCAAAATATGAAATAATGTCTTAAAAAAAACAACAAAAAAGAAAAAAATGCGAATATAAGAATCCGCAGGTGCCTAACTGCGAATGTGCAGGGGTTGACTGTAGATTTTTGTTGTAATATCCCCATTCACCATTAGATGGCAGACATGGCTCATGCCTGCCTATACTATGTGAGGAGGCCTCCATCATATATTTTTTGGTGCGAATTTGGAACATGCAGGACAAGTATAGTGCATCAATATCAACACTTTGATTGAGATGAGGAGTGGCATGGTGCTGCACTGGTTAACACGTCGGCCTCACAGTGCACAGGTGCAGGGTTCGATTCCGGTTCCGGCTATCCTGTGTGGGGTTTGCATGTTCTCCCCATGCCTTTGTGGGTTTTCTGAGGGTACTCCGGTTTCCTCCCACATTCCGAAAACATACATAGCAGGTTAATAGAACAGTCTAAATTGTCACGAGGTGTCAATGTGAACGCATTTTGCACGTATGCACATGTTACACAACTGTTTAGGAAGTGCATGGTTGCAAGTTGCCCATCCTTGCAATAGAAGGATGATTTTTATGTTGAGTGGCTGGAGGGCGCTTTTGAAAGCTGGTTCATCAAGTTTGAACGCTTAAGTACACAAAACTTTTGCAAGGAAACTGCTTCATGAATAAAAATTATTAAAGGTGCAATTTGTGTTCAATGGGCCCTTACACTTCCTTTTTCATGGCAAATCAAAATGGCCATCAGACTTCGACAGACTCTGCCCACATTAGATGACGTTGGCAAATCTCAGTCATCTGTCTTAGATACCTGACTCTGTGAAATGAATTCTCCATTCGGAGTTTGTCGAGGTATGAGACCGCAATGGCTGACTGCCGGTTCAGATTCAGGGCATGGGTCATTGAGTCTTTTCCATCGACAGACGAAACTGGTGTCTGTTGCTCATTTTTTTTCTGACTTTCCAGGGGAGGCGCTACACGACAACTTTCCGGCCATTTGTGTTGGGGGAAACTCCTTAACATACAATCCTATTAATTTTACCCGGACACACATCCTTGCAAAATATTCCGATCGGGAAAGCAGCAGTCGCCCGATGGTGTAGTGGTACACTCGCCTGACTTGTATGCGGGCAGCGTAGGATCAGTTCCCACTCAGTGACGGTGTGGATGCGAGCATGAACGGTCGTTTGTCTCTATATGTGCCCTGCGACTGACTGGCGACCAGTTCAGGGTTGTCGTCTGCCTTCTGCCACCAGCAACTCCCCGCGACCTTCTTCAGAATACGCGGTGTTGAAAATTGATGGATGGATGGATGGATGGAAAAGTAGCATTAGGATGACAATCATAGCAAGAAATTCAGTCTCACCTGTCAAGGGCGTATGGTGATGGGCAGGCGAGGCTTTTACTTCTGAGTCTGTCCTTGGTGGCGCTGTTACTTGACTGTAACACACACACACACACACACACACACACACACACACACACACACACACACACACACACAGCATTATGAAACAAACTCCATGAAAATAATATTCCAATATTATATTAAATGTTATTATTTTCAGTACATTCATTAAAAATGAATTTAATAGAATACGTACATAAAATATATGAGAATGAATAAAAAATAATTTCCCCACCCTTCTTCCCTACCTTGGTGGTCCTCTCCAAAGCGGCTCTCAGGCCATCGTTGCTGTCATGGAGCTTCCTGTTGGCTTCCCTTTTGAACACGTAGAAAAATGCTGATTATTTTTCTGATGTTTTTTACAATATTATGGCTTCTCTGGAATTCAAGTAAAATGAAGTTTGTTAGGTGTACGCGCAACGCACTGTAGGATCTCAATCTGGCTCTCCAGGATGTCCCGCTCCTCAGAAAACTGCTTCATGAGCTCCTCGTCTCTGCAAATGACATCAAGTTAAATCATAAACAAATAGTAATATTTGTTGCTCGTCTGAGGAAGATTGCATATTTGACGCCTTTCAGGCTACACATAATTTTTGGAGGAGAACAAAAATGGGTGTTATATATTGTATATTAATATCTGTATCAGCCAATATTTATGATTGTTGTTTGATACACTTTATTTATTGCAACCCCCCCAAAAAAATCTTTCTTTTTTAAATTTAACTTTGTATTGAAGTTTTTGAACACTTGACCGGAAAACATCATTTGTTTACATTTTTTTTCTGAAGTCATTATTTGCAATTACTTTTTTCAAGACAAAAATATACAAGAATTTAAATTTCATTCATTTCATTGTCCTTCACTGTTTTAAATCTTCTATTGTTTCTGAACAAAAACTTCTGTTATGCTGATATATTATTTTTAAATGGTATGGCTTTGTATTGGATGTGACAATCGCGATTGTATGAGTTGCATGTCATTCCCATTGCCGTGGCTCCCCAATGCGATTGTCTGTGTCATTTATGATAAGAAAAACAAGACCGAGGGGAGAACGGTTGCTCTGCCTGCGCTGTGTTGTGTTGCTAAGCAACCACACACTGTGTGTCTGTACTCGCTCCAGGATATCCTGTTTCGCCCCGTGACAAAAAGGAAAACTCCCCCTATTCTCTGGGAGACGACATTAACCGGGGGGCATTTTGTCCATCTCTTACCCTAAATGACTCAAACTGATTGAGAAGTTTGAGGTAACCTTCACCAAGGTTTAAAAAAAAAAAAAAAAAGTCCTAAACATGTCTGGCATGATGGATTGGTATTCCATTTCAGTCCTTTAGGTGGAAGTAATGCACTATAAAGTGCACCACTCTTTTCACCAGAGCTCCATCTGCTAAATCTGGAGGATCACGACCCCACTTTGCCCGAATGCAAGTTGAAATGTATCCAATCGCTGCTTCATTACACAGCATTCTTAGCATTAATATGGTTTAAAGCACATGTGTCAAAGTCAAGGCCCGGGGGCCAGAACCGGCCCGCCACGTCATTTTGTGTGGCCAGAGATGGGTATTATTTCACTTCTGACTGTGTCATTGTTACCTTCTGTAGTGGTCTTTAAAATCGGGGGACCAGCCAGGGCACAACATTTGTTGTGTTAGCGCTAGCATCTGTGCTAACAAAGAAGTGACTTTTTTGGTTTCTGAATATAACTTTGTTATCTTGTGTAGTGGTCTACAATTTTGCTGGACCAGCCAGGAGACATGTTGTGTTTGTGTCAGTATCTGTACTTATGTTACTGTTCAATGAAGTGGGATCTGTAGATTCTGTCTATAACTTTGTTACTAGCGGTCTTGAACATTGGCGGATCAATCAGGACACAAGTTGTGTTAGTGCTGACATTTGTGGTGTAGCGACCAGATGTGACTTATTTTGTGTTTTCTGACATTGTCCTAAAACAGATCATTTCAATTGTAATCCACATAAACTGCTCCTCACTTGTTGTTTAAAATCAATACAGTCTGACATAGAAAAATAAAGCAACATTACGTAATAACCTTTCAAAGTTGATGCTCTGGTCGGTGAGCTCGGTCTTGAGTGAGTCCATGTCACTCTGCAGACATGCCACTTTGGTCTGGGACTTGAGTAGCTCCTGTTTAAACCGCTGATTCTCCTACAAAGAGCAACACGCGGTGGTATGCACTCGAAATGCAACAGTAAATCAAGAACAATACAAAAAAAAAATAAAAATAAAAAAAAGGTTGCTTGCTGCAGTCTTACCAGCGTGAGCTCGCTGATCTTCTTCTTCAGGGCCGGACTCTCATCTTTCACTGTGATGTTCTTGTACTTCTCCTCGATCTGTGCGCGATGTTTAGCGTGGTTCAGATTTGAAAGAAACCACCTGAAAATCATCACTAAACTGCCACGCTAAATATATGCCAATTTTAGATGGAGCACTGTGCTTTTGTTTTGTTTTTTTTTGGTGGTTATTTTTGCAACATTCTTATCATATTTCAACTTCATGTCTGTATTATTTTCCCCTTTATGTAAACAAAGTTATTCTCGTAAAATTCCAGCTTCTTGTAATCCGATGATACAGTATCATGCTTTATGTGTGGTTGCCCTGACATAAGTTTTTTATGAAAAGAAAAGTTGTTATTCCCTCTTGTTTATTGTTTCAAAATATCGGACACTTGAATTAAAAAAAAAAAAAAAAAAACCTTCACAAAACAATGCAATTTTTTCTGCTTATCTTGATTGTAATGATAAAACACTTAAAAAATATTTCATTATGATTTTTGCAGGTATTACCGTAGTCTCATAAAACATCTATTTTGATGAGTTATTTTAACTTAAACAAGGTGCTGATGTTTTTATTTTAAGAAGAAAAATGACAGCGGGTACCATTTGCATCCTCTGGATTTTACACTGGAGCTCACACACTTCTGTCTCATAAGTTCTTCGCAACTCTTCCAGTTCCGCCTCCCCTCGCTTTTTCTCCTATACACACAAACACAAACACAACAACAATACACACATCAATCAATCACACATTTCTCAAATGATCGGAATTAAAGGAAGATTCAGCGTAGTGTTGTGGACGTTCCTGTGATAAGCCTCTGCTTTAGAACCACTGATAAGCCACTTCCAAAATAAGTGGCCTCTAATTTGGCGTGTCACAAAGCAAACAGCAGATCTTGAGTCAGCTGAGTCCATGTGGTCCGCTTACATAAGTTTGTATGTACACACACTGATAGCGATCATACATTATGTCACAACGTTCAAATTAACTAAAAATGAGTTACTTAGTGTTGGTGATGTGATGTGAGTGAGTGAGTGAGTGAGTGAGTGAGTGAGTGAGTGAGTGAGTGAGTGAGTGAGGCCCGTTGCACATCAAGTGAAGCAGCCGAGCTTAACTAAAGTGGACCATTGTGAAAAATAAATTACTTAAGTTTTTTTTTTTCTCAAATGTCTACGTTTTTAATTGTTGGTGAATGAGTCAGCGCTAGCTTTAATATGCTAACTACCTCATTTTCACACACACACGCACACACACACGCACACACACACACACACACACACACACACACACACACACACACACACACACACACACACACACACACACACATTTAGACATCGTGTTGTGTTGAAACAATGTTGGTTTTGCCTGTGCAATAAACACATACTTGGATGAATATTATGGATGTTTAATTCTCTTTCATAATACACAACTGTAAAATTAATTTTTAAAGTTTTTTTTTAATTAACAAAAAAACAAAAACTCAAAAAGATGAAATCAATTCCATGTTTGAAGATTTTCTCAAGATCTGATCTTGAACTTAGTTTTCACCTATTGACATGACCTCAATTTGAGATGATGTCATACTTCTTCCAGTCAAGGAGCAGTCCTGTTCTTCCATCGGTAATCTGATCTCATATCAGTTATTTTTGTTTGACATGAGGGAAGAACTGAACAAACTGCTCAGTGCGCATTGACGTGAAGAAAAACAGCACAGACCAATAAGGTGACCAAAATATTAGAAACATCTTTAGAACTGCGCGGGCAACATTAAAAAAATGATTTTCATTTTATACAAGTGGAAAAAAAATTGGAAGTCTTTTGTGGTTAAACTGTATTGCGAAATGAATACCCCCCCCCCCCCCCCCGACGGTGTCAGTCAAAAGTAGGCGATAATTTGATGCTACCGTAGGACTGCGATGGTGTACCTAACGAAGTGTCCCACCTGCTCACGCGTTTTCCTCTCGGTGGTGTGAATGCGCTGGTCCATCTCCTCCTCCATCTCGCTGAGCTGCATGGATGCTTGATCCTGTGCTCTTTTACACAACATTGTGTTACTTTAAACAACACAAAAGTGTGCGTGCGTGCGTGCGTGCGTGCGTGCGCATCACTTACCGCCTGATGGCCAGCGCCAAGTTCTCCATCTCGCCATTCTGCTGTTTGATCTCCTTGATGAAACCAAGCAGAACTTTCTCCAGCTGAGGGACGAGCCGAGGCTCATTCACACTGACGTTCTGGTACAATGTCGCCACTAGATCGTGTCTGCAACAAAATAAAAATGAACACTTAACGTCACCGTTCATGGATCCGCTAGGTTCACTGCCCAGTGGCCTCAATGAGATGCTGAAATGGTGAAAATTCAAGATCCGTTTGCTCGATTTTGGCACGATCATCCGAAATAAATTGTCTTTAAAAAAAAAAAAAAATGGGTAAGTGACTAAATTTGATTTCTCGGCTGTGCCTAATGAAGCAGTTGGTGTATGTATACCACCAGTTGATGGCAGTGTTTAAAGTATTAATAATGTAGCGCTTGTGTGTTGACTGACAGGGCGGGTTGAGCACACAGACATGGCCGCCGTCTGCCAACAGCTCTAGGCGGCACACGCTTGTTTACTATGAACAAAAAACACACACAAACATACACACATGAAGTTGATCCACTCAGTGTTGTTCTGGATGATACCCACAGGGAACATTCAGGATCGTTTCAAACTTCTCTTACGTCGCGACATTTATTTCTTACCTCACGGATGTGAACTCGTCTTTGATGCATTCAAAACACGCTTTGTCAAAATGTGCTCCGTCAGCTGATCAGGAATGAAAAGAGCGTCTTTAGTACTTGTGCATCACACATTACCGCTGTGACAATCAATGTCCTCTAAAGTGCAGCAACCCCGTCCCATGTCAGGCCTCCTGGGGCTCACGCTACAGAAACACGCGCACACACACACACACACAAAATGACAAAATCTCCAAGCAGGGCCAGAGTGGGATTCATTTTCAGCCGTGTTGGAGTTTCATGACTCAGCCCACACGCAATGTTTTAAATAAAGGTATACATTTTTACCCACATTAGCGTAACACTCTAAAATAGCTTATCGTTACCTACAATGATATATATTACATTTGATCAAAAATTAAAATTACAGTTGAACGCACTTACAAGATTCACTCTAACGCTGTTCCAGCCAGACCTCTGTAAAAAGTGTACTTGAACGTTCAAGATCTTAATTGTTAAAGGATTACATGCTGTCAATCATATGTTAGCTAAGCGATTAGCACTGCTTCTCCACCTTTTCTCATCATTCGTTCGTGAGAACAACACTTGTCTGAAGTGTATGTAGGTTATTCGCCAAAATGATTCCTCACTTAATAGTGACTCCGCAACGTGTTTAGCTGCGTTGGTAGAGAGTCGAAGCTCTTTGCTAGGTAGTTAGTATGGCTTAAGTAGCACCAAGTTTGCCTCGGCCTCACCTAGTAACAAAGTGTAGGAGGCGTAAGTGCCACACATACGACAAGCCCAGCAAAGCTTTTTGGGACTGTCTCCGTCGATCAATTATCGGGAAAAATTAAAAATCGGAGATTCTCGGTTTTGCTATTCCATGTGTTCTGATGAGGCGCAAATTGCAAATTTTGACTTGCAAACTACCAACCGCTTATTTCAGGCCTTGAATAGGCAAATGTATAAGACTAACTCTTGTCCTCCTCTTTCATGTTTTACATGTCTCCCTCCACTTAACAAGGCACATTTATCAAACGCCAGTAAGCCAGCAACATTTTGGTGGCTAAGGCAACACTTCCTGTTTGCTTTCTTACTTGAAAGCGATTCAGATCACTTCCAGTGCTCTATTTCGCGGACTGACGCTAATGTTTCTAGCGTTACTAGTTTGTCTCTTTAATTAGGTTTTTTTGGACAGACTGGGTAGTTTTTTTTTCTAGTTGTGCAGTCAGTTATTGCTACTTTTGGTATTCACTCAAGTTGACTACATTCACTGTTTTCAGAACTTGTGACTTCGAAAAAAGAGACTCGACGTTTACATGGTCTTGACTTGAGATGCAATGACTCAAAAGTACTGATTGTTGTTCATGTGAATGAGGTATCGCCAACACGCCGCTCAGCTCGCAAGGGCATTTCCAGCATGGCTCAAAAATACAACAGCACGAAATTTGATTTGTCACTTGGTAACCCCCCCCCCCCATTCCCAAATTACCATCCAATCCAAATCACCTCCTGAGATTAAACTATTTATCACAGACAAAAAGTACAACCAAACACTGTGTGAGAAAAACAGTTATGTGACAATGTTACTTAAAGTATTGCCTGTACAGTTGAAGTGTGGAAAGTTGCACCTTCCAGCCAATTCCAGATAGTATTTGCTTTATTTCGTATTGGGAAAAAAAAATATCTGTCGATTTCACTGAAGTTAGTTTAGTTCACTCTTAAAGTCAACTGTATTTATGATGTAATCACAGTCCATTAACTGGAAATGGACTTGCATTACTCTTGTTTTTGTGACATGGGTTTCTGTTTCTGGATTTTTAAGTAAAGGTAAAAAAAAAAAAAAAAAAAAAAACAACAGTCACAAAACAAAAATACTCACTATCTTAACCAAAATTTGCGAGTGTTGGCTCACTTTCAAAACCTCTTCCCACAGATTTGCTAATGTTGCAACCGAACTCAGGAAAAAAAATCTGACAACAAATTAGAATTACAACTAAAAAATTATAATATACCTCATCTGAATGTGTGTTATAATATCAGGCAGAGATATTTAGGCTGGCACAACTCAACTCAACTCAACTGTATTTATAGAGCACTTTCAAACAGCCATTGCTGCATACAAAGTGCTGTACATGAAGCAACTAACATATACAACAGGAAAGCAACAAATCAGTAATAAAGATGGTAGAAAAAAGATGGTAGAAAGCACCAAACAGCAAAGCCACACACTGGCACAAAACACAACTAACCTGGCAAGAGCCAGATTGAAATGTAAATCATTCAAAATAGTTCTCCACAGTATCACTTTGGGACTGCTCCAATGTGATCTGCTCGGGAAAGGCGAGATATTCAGTACAATAATTCGCCCTGATTGGGCGATGTGGCACCTTGTGCACGCCAACTGAACTTTTTTTTTTTTTACCAATAACGGCAACGGATGTGCCTTGTTTTGACCAGCTGAGTCCTGTTATCTCCATGATTGGCACATATGGCATCATGGCGTTGAGTGACAGTTGTCATTTTTGCAATGTACAGGAGGGGAATTAGTGCATGATTAATTAATTAATTAATTGATTAATTGATTGAGTGATTGATTGCAACATCCATGCCGCAATGATGTCCCTTCCACATCGCCTGACCCAATCACACTGTTGCTTTTTGCTTGATCCGCACCGCTAGGTGAACTCACAAATACCGCGAGAATTCAGCTTGATGGCAAAGTGAAGACACAACGCATTCGCCACATGTCATGCTCATAGCTGACCACATCATTTAGTTGTCTTTTTTTTTTTAATTGGGAATATCTTGCTTCTCCAAATCTATTGACATTCGTGGTCCCCTGATACTTGTTCTTTCACGTTTGGTGGTGTCTCTGTTTTGACTTTTTATTGATGAACTATTCAGTCTCTCTGTTCCATTTCAGTAGGCCTAAAAGAATTGAATCGGTAGTTCTTCAAATACCTGTATTTGTTCTTAAATGTGTGAGTATTTGTCCGAAACGGCCTGTGGTGCCGATGGCTCAACTGTACTAACTTGGGTATGAACTTGCTCTGCTCGCCCAGTCGGGCCGCGAAGTCCTCCCAGGCGACGGCGCACGGCTCCTCGTCGTCCTCCTCCTGTCTGGGCTCCTGCTCCACGTCCATGCGGTGTCGCTCGTGGAAGCCGCTGATAAACTCGGGCAGCGTGATGGTGCCGTCCTTGTCCACGTCCAGGCGGTTGAAGAGGCGCTCGGCCTCGCTGGGACTGACTTGCAACTCAGTGCAGATGGTGAAGAACTCGTCGCGCTCGATGCTGCCCGACTGGTCCGTGTCGTAGGCATCGAAGAGTGCGCGCAGACGCTCCCGCTCCTCGGCGCTCATCACCTTCGGACGCGGCACGCTGAGGCGGAAGGGGGGGGAAAAAAAACAAACAAACACGTAATCCCCCTCGGTTCCACTTCAAAAACACTTCCAAGAAATGTGCATTCTCATGCTCAGGTAAGTCACCGACAACTGTACCTGCGTGTGTGTGTGTGTGTGTGTGTGTGTGTGTGTGTGTGTGTGTGTGTGCGTGAGGCGTGTTCACAAGCCTCTGGGCTTATTCCCTCCCTCCCGAGGATTAAAATAAGTCAATAAATTGAGTCAAATGTCATTTTTTTCGGGGGGGGGGCGCAAAGTAAATAAAAACTGTCGGGAAAAACACAGCAATAAAATATAAAGGAGTGTTTTATTGAAGGGGAAGTCAATGCAAAATATTTCTTTTGAGTAATATGTTCAACGTACTACAGTTAGTCAGTCTAAACACGGTATTTTGATGAATATTGGGGAATAAATATTAATTTCATTAATCCTCTCGCTCTCGTGCGTCAAAGGGCGCAGCAGCCATTTTGACATTCTACGGCCACCTGCTGTCGACAGAAATTGACATCAAAGAGCCCTCAGGTCGCATTGCGGCTGTCATGTGACCAAAACCAAAACAGGTCAGCCTTGACGTTCGGGAGATCAGAGCAGGATCGTAGCTGTTCCCAATGTTGTGCTCTTCAGGACGGAGCTGTTTCTGCAGGAGGCATTCACTGATCTTAGGGTTACTGCTGTTGATTAGTTTCGATTAAAAAAATGTGGTTTGCTATTAAGTCTTGCTAATGCACAGCGATGAACTGAAAGTCATTCTCGGTCATGAAGCATCATCCACATCATAAAGCTGGCTGAGAAAATACCCACAGTAGATGTGTAAAGTTCTTATGTGGGCAAAAGGCGCCTAATGAGAAGAATCTTAAAAAAAAATAAAACAAAGCAAAACAAAACAAAAACATTCTAATGACATAACAAAAACATTCTTTTTTTAATTAACATTTTTTTGTTTACTAAATATCTCCATCAATATTTCTTCGTAATGTCTCGATGACTTAAATCTACAGTTCAGGATTTTTTTTTTTTTTTAAACAACTGAATTAGAGGATGTTCCCAAACTTTGCACTGATAGCCTGTGTGTGTGCACTATGAACTGTGGGGCAGAAAAAAATCTGATTTTGAAATTTTGTTATTTAGTAATTTGTTATTTATGATTAACAAATTATTTAACAATTTAAAGTATTGTAAGTGACTCGCTCTCTTTGACAGTTCAATGCTCATTGCTCAACAAACATGGCATTTTGGGGGGTTTTCTGAACAGTGATGGCTTTGGAGATGCGAGAGAAAGAGAATGTTATATTTATTAGAATTATATGTCAGTCCAAAATGAACAGCGGGGAGGAGTGTTTTTAAGACATTTTGATTTTGTAACTACATCATGTATGTGTGTGTATTAAACAATGTATGCATTGGAAAGGAAGAAAATACAAGTTTACCACCAAAGCAAATTCCCCAATTTGAAGATTTTACATTTAATCTTTGTGTGTGGCCATCTGTTTCTCAGCAGAATTCATTACATTTTAAATACTACATTCTCTGACCTGGCTTTAACAGTTTCCATCCGACAAACGTTCTCCTCTCCATCTTCCCCATCTCGGAATGTTCCACACCCGCCGCCGCCGACATCTGCTAAAGTGGAAGAGTCGTCGTCTTTCCTTGTCAATTCTTCTTCATTGCTACTTCGGAAAAGCGAGCCCCGCCGACGTTCCACCAAGGTTCTTGCTGATGCCGTTGCCATCTTTATTCCCTTTTTTTTTTTGGTTTAGCTTAAAACAATCCTGCTTTTCCTGAAGTCTCCATGTGCGCTCATGCAAAATACCCCACCACGGCAAATAAAGATGATACGGTGACTTTTTATATGAGCCCTCATGCTCATGTGCTTCTTCTTAACTCATCACATGCGAACACTCCTGAAGGGGAAACTTTCTGTGGAAAAAAACGTCCATGAAGAATACATTTTAAGAAACCCCGCAGGCAAACGAAACCAATATCATTCTTCTCCTCGTAGGTATGCCACATTTCTTCATCTTTCATTGCTACTGGCTTCCACCAACACTTTGTTTAATATACACAAAGTCAACACCACTGTGCTTCTTTTGAAACATGACAAATTGCTTATTTTTAACTCTGATCTTCATAGTTAGCTAGACCCAATTCTTGCGGCACAATCAGGTTTGGCCCGAGCCCAAGTATCTTGAAATTGACCAAAATTGGTTTTCTTGTCCCTAAATTGTCACTAGGCAGAACTTATGTGGCACCGTCATGTTTGTCGCAAAACCCAAGTAAAAAAAAAATTTTTTAAATCACAAAGAATTGATTTCATTTATTATTGCTATTATTATTACTATTATTTTGCTTGTCATTTGGTGTCTCTTAGTGCTTCCTTCTGGATGTGTTTTTCAGTCGGTAAAAGGCTGTTTTCGTGTTAAATTTAATATGATTGCTAAAAGTCAGGTCTGACCAGCTCATGATTTTATCAACTTGGTCTTTGGTTTTTAAAGACACTGACGCCGCCTCGTATTGTCGAACAGTACTCCTCCTTATTGTTGAAAGCAATTACCCTGGTGTTTTGTTTTGGTTCAGGACATCTTACCGGTAATAACATCCACTTGTTAATTTGCTCTTGACAATGACACAAGGAGTTCATTGAACTGCTGTCTTTTGGTTACATTGATAAACATAGCTCTGTTTCATGGACATAACCATGATCTCCAACATTGATGTTCTGAATCATTTGAGCCAAAAGTAACATACAGACTGAGCAAAAGGGGTCCAAGGATTGACCCTTGAGGGACCCCATATGTCATGGCTATTCGATCACATTCATAACCTCCAGTGATTGCCAAGCAACTCCTTTTCCCTGAGCAGGACCTGAACCGTTTTAGCACAGATTTGTGATTTAATTACCAAACACCGACATTATTGTGTTTGAGCAAACGGGTGGCTCCATTCATGACAGTGTTCCATTCCTCTGCCGGCGCTTGTCAATTTTGACATTTACAACATTTACAAAGTTGTGTGCCATTTCCCTACAAAAGGTCACAAAGACAGGTGTGCTGCAGTTTATGTGTGGTCTCAGGATTATCTGACGACATGTTTGTTCAAGGAGGTGCGCTTGTTCGCCACCACGTTGGATGTGCTGACGCCATGAGAACATGCCATGTGGTTGTGACATAACCACCCTCCATTCACCCATATACAGTAAATGTTACAAACAGGACCTCTACCAACGGCCCAGCAGTAATGTTGGCTAGTAGTATGACAATAAATCCTCCATCTAAGGTCGACAAAACAATAATCGAGTTGTTTTTGTACTCATTTTGGCCCTTTCTGACCCAGGACGTCAAAAAGCCAGACTATCTTATTTATGTCGTATAACATTCTCCGAAATATTAGCTTTCTCTCTGTGTTACGAGTGGATTTGTCCGAAACACGTCAATCTTGTGTTCGTTATTTTCGACCGAAAATCTTTATCTGTGTGGAGAAAAACTAATACTCTTGAATCATTCATTTGACTCCATGAAGAGTGTAGCCAGTCAAAGAAGCACCTTGACTGAATGAACGAGGAAGCGACAGTAACGAAAACTCTTACCTGATGTCGTTTATTTATTTTTTTGTTTTGGCGCAGGAGTGTGCATTCTTCACTTTTTACAGATCACAAGATTTGTGCCTCTTGCTAGATCGGTGATGGAATTTTATTTATTTTTTGTACCCACAAGCTGATAAGAGCCACCTTCCTTCACTCCAGTGCAAAAAACTCATGACTCGCAGTACCAGCGATCTGTGGCTCAGGGTGCAAAATTAATTAGCAGGGGTAAACACAAGGCACTGTGTGCCGGAGGTGACCACAATTAGCAGTAAGCCATTTCAGGGTTAAACGCCAATGTGATGTGATGATGACTTTGCAGAAGTGGGCTATTTGGGTTCCATTGGTACTTTTTGGGGCGGAATGTCAATTTGAGTGTTGGCTTAACTTGGTTAAAATAATAATAATAACAATAATAATCTAATTTCCTGTCTTCAAAAAGGGGCTATTTTTTATGATAGGGCAAGTGTTGCATTGACTCACCAGAATTTGAGGGACACATGCCCTGAAGTCAAATTAATTACACACGGCATCTTCCAGTGTTACCTCACTCACTTTGCTTCCTTGACAACTAGGGAGATTTCGTTCTGTTGCACCTCATGGCATCTGCCATGGCATACTTTTTTTTTTTTTGCGACCAAGATGGCATCTGCTGCATCCAGAGCGCAAAATAAGGAATCTAAAATCACAATAATATTGAAAGCAGTTTTAAAAGGAGATTTGGAAATGTGGCTTGGGCGGGGGTGGGGTGGGGGAATAGCAAGCTGTTATGGTAGAAATGGTTATTATTAGAAAGGAACTCACAATTGTGGGTGATAGCCACTGATGAAATCACGGTGCTCAGTATGTGTGTAAAAAGTGGGCGAGGTCCAACTCAGGCAAGTACGACCCAAGGCTCCTTGGACTTGGTTTTAGCAACACCTAAAGAATCCCAACAACTGAAATGGGGGCAAAAGCATGCAACGTTAAATATCAACAGTTCAGCGCAACATTGTTCTCCATCTTTGCATATTTTCAGCACTTATTTTCAAACACATTTATTGTATTTAGAAAAAAAAACCCATAAAAATCATTTTGCAGGAACTTTAAAAAAACACAAACACATATTTTCTTCTTTTCAATACATGGTCCAAACCCATTCGCAAAATGGCTATTGGAGTTCCTGTTGTTGTGGCATTTCAATTAATTAAATTGGCTTTTGGGGCAAAAAAATGTGTGTGCCCACCCTATTCTGTAAAAAGTCACTGACCAGTCAAAATGGTCAAAAATTGCAGTAGAAGGTATGTGGGGCAGTACCCCACCAGATCCAACAGATGGACACTGATCCATGTAACTATCTGTTTACCAGTACATCCTTAACAATGAAGTTTCAACTAAAAAAAAAAAAAAAAAATCAACAAAGGCAAAGCAAAAAGCAAAATGTATACTGTACAATTCATTTGTTCCTCCCCGAAGCTCTGTGCAACATTCGAGGTCTTTTCTCCTGAAAAGAATTTCTGGTGCTCTATATCAGGAAACAGCACGTTACATTAGGGAGCTTTATTGTGGCAGTATCAACACATAGAAATCAACACATAGTTTCTTCTGAATGACATACAAACATTCAAATGTTTCACGTCACAAAGTTCATAAGGCTTGGTTGTCCCAGAGGAAGGGTGAGGGGAAGTTTCAAAATAAAATCTCCCAGAGTCGCTTCAAACAATAAAACCAATATGATGAATGAAAAATCAGCAGGCTGTTACTGCAGTCTGCTACATGCTTACACAATTCTGAAATGCCTCTCTCTGACATAGTCCCCATGCCTAATCACGGCAAACACCTGAGTTCAAATAGAATAAATTTCACTTTTTATCATGTATATACACAATTAAATGTAATGTAAATTTTTGCTAATAATTATCATCCAAAATACTTGTACTTGGATATGATATCAAATAGTGTCTGAATGCCACACACATTTGTGTGTGTGTGTGCGTGTGTGTGTGTGTGTGTGTATTTTTAAAATTAAATTGCAAACCCTCCAAAACTTACTGTCACCTGTCAATTTGTTGTAATACTTGAAAGTGATACGGCTCAAAATAAGAGCGAGAAAAAGGTGCCGATACCCTTTGCTGTTACTGTAGCATAAATTCTAAGCTACAAGCGAAGCTAATGTGTTGTCATGTTATTCTTGAAGCTAAATGTCAAAACGACTAAGGGTTCTTGTTAAAACGAGCAGGAATATGCTGCTAGCAAACCTGGGAGTGTGCATTGTTAGCATCGCATTTGTCTAATGCTACATCACATTGATTTGCATATTATTCTCGATGCTAATCACACTTGGCTAATCATTCAAATTTGCTTCAAACACGTGGGGAATGCCATATTACATGCTAACATGCAAGCATGCTCTGTTAGCCTTGAGTTTGGGTTTCGATGCGGCGAAAGCGTAGCAATTTTGGCAGTTGGAAAAAAATCTTCATACTTAAGTCGAAATTTGAAATTGAACCGTGTAGTTAGTCAATTTCCAAGTCTGGGCTAATATTAACTGTTATCTTTCCCCTTCTCTGTCAAAACATATCATGTCTCATGCATTCTAATGATGGTCAAGACAGCCAAGCCGACAAGACAAAGGGGAGCGACATATTTCATTTTCTGTTCGTTTTTTTTTTTTTGTGTTTTTTTTGGTGACACTGATTAACATCATATTTACAAAAGGAGGACATGCAGATTTTCAAGCTCTTAAAAAGTCACGCGAGTGATCTGTACATCTATGAAACCTTTCGAGAATTACCTTGGAAAACCAAAATGTTGTCGTCACCAATTAATATGATGACGTTGCAGACGTTGTCATAGTGACATGGCCCTTCTGTTGGTTTTCAGTAGGAAAAATAAATGCTTTGTCACTGCATATTGACTACGTATGCATGCTGGGTCCCACCCATGCGTGCCGTTATGCATATTCGTATGAGGCAGGAAACATTTGTACTGACTTTGAAAGGAGTAATTGTATCACTGTGAATGCCTTCACAATGATGACAGTTCGAGTGCATCAGCCACAGTCTTGCTCGAAATAAATACTGTACACATCATGTTATATACAGTACTGCGCAAAAGTATTAGCATTTTGGTAAATATCTGTATTAGGGCCAGAATGAATAACTGATTCATAAAATTAATGGGATGGCACGGTGGGCACGCCCGCAACCCTTGTGAGGAAAAAGCGGATTATAAAATGGATGGATGGATGGATGGACGGGAGGATAGATGGATGGATAAAATTAATAGTTTCCAGAGAATTGAGTCAAAATGGAATGTACTACTGCACTGCACTCTCAATGTGTTTGTCTCCAGAAAAGGATTTCTGTTTTATACAAATTAGATAAAACAATTGCTGTGGAAAGATATTTTGGTAAACTAATGGTTAAGACTATTTAAATTACAAGAATAAAAATGGAATTTTAACCATTTTTACCTTTTCAAAAATATGAGCATGTTTTTTGCCAGAGATTTTAGTTTTTTTGACATCCCACCTTTTTAAAGCATTCCTCTGTTTTCATTTTAGTATTATCTTTTATCCACAAATACAATCGTCATTACAGATTTTTTGACCTTGTAATTTTACCGTTCATTTTGACCCTGACAAGTTTACAAATTTTCTTGTCGATTAGATATTATTTCACCAAAAGAATTGGATTTTTAAAATGTATTTTATTTTTTGATTTGCAGGGCATTTCAATGGGCGAAACGTTTTGGTTAGGACATGGATAAAAGTGCACATACAGGCATAAATCAAACTGTTTTCTTTTGCACAGTACTGTATTGCAGTATGTATGGAGAAAGCGCAGATATACAACAAGAGCACACTCATGCCAGGCAATCCATACCTCACCTACCATTATAAATTGTTTAAGTAGTTTGATTGGCCCGTATTGTGCTCAAGTAGGGTATACGCACTTACCCGGCACGGTTTGGAAAAGGTGGACTTGGCCGTGATATGGAAAAAAAAAGTCATAGAATTAGTTCTGAAAAATAGGATTTTTTTTTTTAATATCCCGTCCCTTTTTCCTTGCAATGTTAAAACTGCTCCAAACAATTTTTTACTCCCTCAATATTTGCCTCGTCAACTATGAAAACACTTTTATTCTGTTTTGAAGATTTTTGATGAACCTTAAAATTCTTTCACATTATATTTTTCTTACATCCCCCAAAATGTTTGTTCTCTGAATTGTACTATTTTCGTACCCAGAGCAACTCCATAAATGTGTGCATGGCTGGAGTGTTTGTTCTTTTGACATTTCCACAGACGGGCACAGTTAGAAATGGGCGTTTGCGCTGTTGTGGGACTAAATATTGCCAACTTGATTCCCGGCCAATCCAAGCGGATCCCCTCATTCACTTTCAATTCAGCGCATGTAGGATACACGGTCGACATGGCAGAATCATTAGAGAGTCGCCATCCGTGCAGGAGATCAGCATGGGCAAAGTATGTTGATGAGGAACGGCAAGATCTCCACTTGCGGATCAAATCCACCAAATTCATATTATACCACCTGTGCTACAACTTTAGACCTGCTTTCGTCTAGTCTACTTCCTGTCACCAAATTGTCAGTGTGTAATGAAAAACACTCTTGATATGCCTTACACACGTGCATCTCTCCACGAAAGACTGAAAGACGTTTTTCCCCATCAAAAATGTATTTTCATTTTTCTCGGTGACTTTATACCCTCGCATATTTTCTCTTAGCATTGCATTTCTTGTAATGTAATTTGTTTTTCTTGTTGGCGTGTCCCCAACACTCCTTCGTGCTAATCACAAGAAAGAAGCCACGAGAAAGGAGCCACAAAGGCAAACAAATTGCAGTTATGTAGTTTGGATGAGTGAAGGCCAGGGAGGGAATAACGATGGTTGAGCTTGGTACCGAAGGACAATTGGCCCAGTGCAAAGCGTGCCTCGTAGACGCAATCAACAGGAGCTGCTTATATCATTTCCTGAGAAGTTGATCGCAATAGCTAACTGGACAGTCTGAATGGAAGCTACCAAGAGTGCCGCGTGTTTTTGGTTTTGATTTTGCTCGGAGAGAGAGAATTTGAAAATGACCATTTTGTGAGACGGGATGCTCAGTAGAGTTTTGACACAGTGTTGTGGAAAAGAGCTACGGGCAAAAGCGTCCTCTACGACACACATCACAGGAAACGTACGACACTGACATGACACAGATCTTAAATAACCCCTGTCCATCTCTTCCCTCTTTGTCCCAACTCTTCGGTCAGGAAAAACCCCAACATCCCACTGTTCCACGGTTTTTTCCTGCGTCCCAAAACTCCACGCGTGTAACATGAAGACATGGCCTGCTGTTATCAGCACAAACAAAGCAAACCACCTCCTGTTACCGAAATGACATCACGTGGTCTGACAGAGAAACTCAATGTCGATTTGTGCCGAAGGAGTCAAGGAGTAAAAAATACGCCCCCTGTACCCCATGGGTAAATTTGCTTCCCCCCCCCCTTTTTCTTCACTTGTAAACGTTGACATTTTCTCCAAAATAAGATCAAAGTAGATCCTCTGACTTAAAAATTCCTGAAAGATCCGCATCACATAAAAATGTACAAAAGCTTAAAAACAACTTGTGTACCAACGTGTCTTTTTTGTTTGTTTGTTTGTTTACTACATCGACTTAGAAGAGTGTGGTAAGTTTTAGCGCAACCGCCGTCCACTCTCTGATCAACATGCCAGGGGACCAATTGAAGCGCTCATCGAACAATATTTATAAAACAACAACAAAAGTCAAGGCAAAAGTCTTTGCATCCGCTTGCCAGCATCATCCTTTTTTTTCGTCCTTTTTTGCACCTCATCTCTGCTTTTTGCCAGCACTTTTTTGTCCTCTTTCCTTGGACGCAAATGTCAATCTTAACAAGTGATCGCATCTTGTGATGTTCTGCTGGTCAAGACTCACTGATGCAACGGTAGTTAAGACAGGGTATAACATTGAATGACATGTTAAGACAAAGGAGACCCAGACATGACAGAAAGTAGTTGGGGAATTAACGTGCACACAAAAGGCCAGTTTGGGGCCAAAAATTAAGTATAACGTGCAAAAATACTCATTTGTGCCAATGTAGGACAAAAATGCAAATTTTGGGCCACAAAGTATGCATAATTTGCATACAAAACACAAATTCATGGTATGAACCCTTTCAGGGGACAGCGGTTACTACAGTGGACACCTTATCATGTTATCGGGCGACAGGTTATCATTATTGGTGCATGAAAGGGTTAATACATTGAGTGAACAGTTTGGCAAGCAAATGTAGCACACCTATAGAAACTAAGGTAGAAGGGATGTTACTTTAAAAATGTATTCTGATACAGTTACTAGTTACTTGTTAGAAAATGTAATGTGCCTGTGTTCGCAATGTCATTCAAGTCGGCCTTCCATAATAGTTAATGTAATGTAATTTGATTACTATTTATTACTTCTGGATTACTCCAATACCAAATATCGACAAAAAAAAAAAAAATGATAGGCTATATATTTGTTTGTCTTGTCTGGTCTTTTGGCCTCATGAATGATTTGTGGGAATTAGCGCGTTAGCCTGCTAGCTATTAGCGCCCCTCGATGGTAACAAGCAGTCCAGAGGATTTTGACAGCTCATTCATTTTAAATACCCTTGACAAAGAAATGTGTCAATCCTCCAGGGAATATGATCTGAAACAGTCACCATCCATTCCCTTTGAGTGAGTTTTGAAACCAACACTCCTGAACCGGTTGTTTGGCCAGCAAGTTTGAGGGTGAGCGAGGACTCTCCTGTGGCATCTCTGTCCCAGCATTAAAAATGTGATCCAGCGAAGGAAATAAAAAAACCCTATCTGTAAACCCATTACGTTTTTTTTCTGTAACTAACAGTTTGTTGTTAGATTTTTTTTTTGTATCCATAACACCGGTACATGTAAAAGTCTGGGTAGAAGTGGAAGATAGTACCTAGTCAAGTTGTGCTCCATTTGCTTGCTATGAAGTCCAACTCGTTCATGGGAATGATATTAAATTCGCATGAGTATTTTGCGCTGCCGTGTTGCCTAATTTTTGACCACAAATGAATATTTTGGGTGCACGTTACACTTAATTTGTGGCCACAATTTATATTTCACATGACACATCTGGGACCCTGTATTATACAGACTTTTGGACCTATTTTCTTTCCCAGATGTCCAATTTGTGACCCACAAAGCTGGTCTACCTAATTTGCGACCACAAGTTAATATTTTGTGCACCTTATATAAATTAATATAATGTGCGCACGTTATACTTAGATGCTGGCCACAAAATAGCAATTTATTTGTATGTTACATGTTGATTGTGGCCACAATAACTTTTTTGCACTTTTGGCCAGTTTTCTGACCCAGGTATACAAAGTTATTCATGAGAAATACATTGAACTTCCAAATTTGTTTTTTGGGGGGATTTTCAATCATTTGTGACCACAAATTAGTATTTTGTGCCCACATTATACATAATTTGTAACCACAAATTTTTATTTTTCTCCCTCCATGTCATGTCTGAAGATCCATATAATAATGACTTTTGGGCATCAGTTATTTTTTTTCCCTGAAGTGATGCCTTCACTCTTTTAGCCACATGGTCCTAGAGCTTTCCCATCCAATGTTCAGTCTGACCACAGGTTCTCCATGGCCATGCTGATCTTGCACACGATCCAGCGGCGAAGGGGGCAGTAGTACTCGAAGTGGAACTGCTCGAACTCCGGCGTCTGGCGGATCTCGTGCAGGAAGGACACATCCAGGTCGGACTCCAGCAACAGCAGCAGCGTGGGCACGGTGACCATCAGGACGCCGGTGAGCGCGGCAATCAGTCGGGCCACGCTCAACACGCACGCGTTTAGCCGGGCGTTGGACGACAGAAGGCTCAGGACGCCCGTGCTTCCCCCTCTCGCTGCAAGACGGACACGTTCGAAGGCCCGGTCGCGCTCCCTTTCGGCCTCCAGCTGGGCCTGGATGTCGGGATCGGCGTGGAGCTCCCTCAGAAGCCTGGCGGGACTCTGGACGGGTGACGAGAAGAGCAGGTCCACGCCTCCTTGGCTGTCGTCCACCGGGGTGGGAAGCATGCTGGCGCAAGGGCTAAGCAGGAATGCATGGACACATATTTAGTCAATGAACTGGCCGAAAGACAACAAGAGACCATTCAGCATCATGAAGTGCTTTAATGCAGACTCTTTCACTTTTAGTGAGTGCTCAATCGTTGACCATCGTCTACAGCAGGGATGGGCAAATAGCACATGCGACCCATGACAACACTCTGAGTTGCCGGCTCCTTGTTTAAACCTTTCATGCACCCCGTAACCTAATAACATGATACGCTGTCCACTGTAGTAACCGCTGTTCCTGAAAGGGTTAATATGGGACGATAGAAACATTTCAGTGGCCGTCAGTTATACACAGGTTTTCGTTATCCACCGCTCACTTTTAGTGAGTGCTCAATCGTTGACCATCGTCCACAGCAGGGATGGGCAACTAGCACATGCGACCCATGACAACACTCTGAGTTGCTGGCTCCTTGTTTAAACCTTTCATGCACCCTGTAACCTAATAACATGATACGCTGTCCACTGTAGTAACCGCTGTTCCTGAAAGGGTTCATATGGGGCGATAGAAACATTTCAGTGGCCATCAATTATACACAGGTGTTCGTTATTCACTGGTCTCTAATAAAAGTTTTAAGTGGTAATATCACTACAAATCACTAGATGGCAAACATGTCTTAGTTATGCTTGCATCAGGTCTTCTGTTGCCCGATAGCACAACGTGAGCAGGGCTAATCATGTTTAGCTGATTTGTAATGACATCCAAGAAAATAATTGTACCTTAATATATATTTTGAAAAAGTCCACTGTAGTAACCGCTGTTCCTGAAAGGGTTCATATGGGGCGATAGAAACATTTCAGTGGCCATCAATTATACACAGGTGTTCGTTATTCACTGGTCTCTAATAAAAGTTTTAAGTGGTAATATCACTACAAATCACTAGATGGTAAACATGTCTTAGTTATGCTTGCATCAGGTTGCCCGATAGCACCACGTGAGCAGGCCTAATCATGTTTAACTGATTTGTCATGACATCCAAGAAAATAGTTGTAACTTAATATATATTTTGAATTTTTTTTTTTAATATTTTGAAACATTTTGAGTGAGTTGATTTTTGTGAGGAAAAAAAAGATGCACAAAATTTGTTGGACCAAAGGTTGGCTCGCTGCTCAGTAGTTTCATGTTGCCCTTGATGGTGAATTTGAGCATGAGAGCACTTTGCACATGAAAAAAATAATTATTATGTTTCTTTTTTGGCTGGCAACCAGTTCAGGGTGTCTTTTAAGTGGTAATATCACTACAAATCACTAGATGGTAAACATGTCTTAGTTATGCTTGCATCAGGTTGCCCGATAGCACCACGTGAGCAGGCCTAATCATGTTTAACTGATTTGTCATGACATCCAAGAAAATAGTTGTAACTTAATATATATTTTGAATTTCGAAGACAGCTGGGATAGGCTCCACCACTTGCGCTTCTTTGGTTAGAAGAGGTACAATACAATCTAATCTGTCAACCCAAGTTAGCTTTCATGGACTTTACCTTCAGGCCCGAAGGAAATGACCAGCGTGTGCGGTTGGACCAAAGGTTGGCTCGCTGCTCAGTAGTTTCGTGTTGCCCTTGAATGGTCATTTTCAGCATGAGAGCACTTTGCACATGAAAATAATAATTATTCTGTTTCTTTTTTGGCTGGCAACCACTTCAGGATGTCCCCCTGCCTACTGCCCGAAGACAGCTGGGATAGGCTCCACCACTTGCGCTTCTTTGGTTAAAAGAGGTACAATACAATCTAATCTGTCAACCCAAGTTAGCTTTCATGGACTTTACCTTCAGGCCCGAAGGAAATGACCAGCGTGTGCGTATAAGATCAAACAAACCTGTAGACAAGCTCAGATATGGTTCGCTCTCCGTCGGCCTCCTCGTCCTCATCCATTTCGCTTCCCACTTTGGCCGTCTGAGGTGGGATACTTGAAGTCTCCGTGGCATGGCGGGGAGGCGGCAGGTCTGACGCACAGTTTGCTCCATCTATACTTGGTTGATGGTCTGCAGGAGCGGCCGAAGATTTGACGGGAGACAACGCTGCCGAGTCCTTCACAGCAACGAAGCCTGGTGGGTGACATGAAACACATTTTGGATTTAAGGTTCAATTCATAAGATTACACTCATTTGATGACCTTTATTGTTTGGTTTTAATCGAATGACAACTGTTTATCTTTACTGTTATTGAAGTCACTGGACCGAGAGGTGCGTTAGGTTTACTGATTGAAAAAGCCAAATACAACTGCAGTCAGTCTGCCACTGAAAAACGGTTCGGAGTTGAGGACAGTGACAATGCACAATAAATGTTTCGATGTCTAATAAAGATGCTGGTCGGAGAACTCAAAGCTCACATAGACACAGATATTGCAAAATGCAACACCCATATCGCATTTGCATGTTTTTCCAATATAATGCAGTCTTACATTAACCCTTTCGGGGACAGCGGTCACCACAGTGGACAGCTTATCATGATATCGGGTCACAGGGTGCATAAAGGGTAAAAATGAGTCACGTTATAATGTATGAGACTTTTGAGTATCATTTCAATATCTCGATGCCAGGTCGAGTGTCCTCTTTTTTGGGGAATCAAAATATGGTCACGCTATCATACTGTATTTATACCGTGACTGAGTGGGCACTGAACCCAAGCTGCCTGCACCAAATTCAGAAGGAATTATCACTGCTACGGTTTTTCTTTTTATTTTCACCAAATTCAGAAGGAAGTATCACTGCTACGGTTTTTCTTTGTATTGCTTTATTAGTCATGCTTTTATCATTATTTGTTTTTCATTGTTGGCCTAACATACCTTTTAGCCACATGGTCCTAGAGCTTTCCCATCCAATGTTCAGTCTGACCACAGGTTCTCCATGGCCATGCTGATCTTGCACACGATCCAGCGGCGAAGGGGGCAGTAGTACTCGAAGTGGAACTGCTCGAACTCCGGCGTCTGACGGATCTCGTGCAGGAAGGACACATCCAGGTCGGACTCCAGCAACAGCAGCAGCGTGGGCACGGTGACCATCAGGACGCCGGTGAGCGCGGCAATCAGTCGGGCCACGCTCAACACGCACGCGTTTAGCCGGGCGTTGGACGACAGAAGGCTCAGGACGCCCGTGCTTCCCCCTCTCGCTGCAAGACGGACACGTTCGAAGGCCCGGTCGCGCTCCCTTTCGGCCTCCAGCTGGGCCTGGATGTCGGGATCGGCGTGGAGCTCCCTCAGAAGCCTGGCGGGACTCTGGACGGGTGACGAGAAGAGCAGGTCCACGCCTCCTTGGCTGTCGTCCACCGGGGTGGGAAGCATGCTGGCGCAAGGGCTAAGCAGGAATGCATGGACACATATTTAGTCAATGAACTGGCCGAAAGACAACAAGAGACCATTCAGCATCATGAAGTGCTTTAATGCAGACTCTTTCACTTTTAGTGAGTGCTCAATCGTTGACCATCGTCCACAGCAGGGATGGGCAACTAGCACATGCGACCCATGACAACACTCTGAGTTGCTGGCTCCTTGTTTAAACCTTTCATGCACCCTGTAACCTAATAACATGATACGCTGTCCACTGTAGTAACCGCTGTTCCTGAAAGGGTTCATATGGGGCGATAGAAACATTTCAGTGGCCATCAATTATACACAGGTGTTCGTTATTCACTGGTCTCTAATAAAAGTTTTAAGTGGTAATATCACTACAAATCACTAGATGGTAAACATGTCTTAGTTATGCTTGCATCAGGTTGCCCGATAGCACCACGTGAGCAGGCCTAATCATGTTTAACTGATTTGTCATGACATCCAAGAAAATAGTTGTAACTTAATATATATTTTGAATTTTTTTTTTTAATATTTTGAAACATTTTGAGTGAGTTGATTTTTGTGAGGAAAAAAAAGATGCACAAAATTTGTTGGACCAAAGGTTGGCTCGCTGCTCAGTAGTTTCGTGTTGCCCTTGAATGGTCATTTTCAGCATGAGAGCACTTTGCACATGAAAATAATAATTATTCTGTTTCTTTTTTGGCTGGCAACCACTTCAGGATGTCCCCCTGCCTACTGCCCGAAGACAGCTGGGATAGGCTCCACCACTTGCGCTTCTTTGGTTAAAAGAGGTACAATACAATCTAATCTGTCAACCCAAGTTAGCTATAATGGACTTTACCTTCAGTAAGGAAATGACCAGCGTGTGCATATAAGATCAAACAAACCTGTAGACAAGCTCAGATATGGTTCGCTCTCCGTCGGCCTCCTCGTCCTCATCCATTTCGCTTCCCACTTTGGCCGTCTGAGGTGGGATACTTGAAGTCTCCGTGGCATGGCGGGGAGGTGGCAGGTCTGACGCACAGTTTGCTCCATCTATACTCGGTTGATGGTCTGCAGGAGCGGCCGAACATTTGACGGGAGACAACGCTGCCGAGTCCTTCACAGCAACGAAGCCTGGTGGGTGACATGAAACACATTTTGGATTTAAGGTTCAATTCATAAGATTACACTCATTTGATGACCTTTATTGTTTGGTTTTAATCGAATGACAACTGTTGATCTTTACTTCTATTGAAGTCACTGGACCAAGAGGTGCGTTAGGTTTACTGATTGAAAAAGCCAAATACAACTGCAGTCAGTCTGCCCCTGAAAAACGGTTCGGAGTTGAGGACAGTGACAATGCACAATAAATGTGACAGTGTAAGCTCGCAGGCAAATGTTTCGATGTCTAATAAAGATGCTGGTCGGAGAACTCAAAGCTCACATAGACACAGATATTGCAAAATACAACACCCGCATCGCATTTGCATGTTTTTCCAATATAATGCAGTCTTACATTAACCCTTTCGGGGACAGCGGTCACCACAGTGGACAGCTTATCATGATATCGGGTCACAGGGTGCATAAAGGGTAAAAATGATTCGCATTATAATGTATGAGACTTTTGAGTATCATTTCAATATCTCGATGCCAGGTCGAGTGTCCTCTTTTTTGGGGAATCAAAATATGGTCACGCTATCATACTGTATTTATACCGTGACTGAGTGGGCACTGAACCCAAGCTGCCTGCACCAAATTCAGAAGGAATTATCACTGCTACGGTTTTTCTTTTTATTGCTTTATTAGTCATGCTTTTATCATTATTTGTTTTTCATTGTTGGCCTAACATACAGTATGAATGCACACTTTTTTACATTCAAATCCCTGAAAGTGCAGCATTTTAGCCACAAGATGGCGCTCACATGCCGGTAAAACAGAGCAGCCTCACGTGTGACAGCAAGGCAACATAAATGGGACCATATTTTGCAAATTAACGCGCCCTGTGCACTGAAATGTTCATAGTAGCCTGCATAAATTGTCACAGTGAGTGTACATCCCATCATATTTTCAACACGAGACAAAAAGCCTGAAGGGTCCTCTTTCGTGCGTGTGTCTATGAAGCCAGAGAAAAACTCCGGATTAGCAAAGCGTTGACAAGCGGAGTCAAACAACACAGGACATTAGTGGACCCACAACCGCCACCCACTTTGATGCATCCAAGACAGCTGGATATATTTTTACACACGCAGGACCCCCGCGCCCCCACTCGCAAGTAGTAATGCCCTATTTCCACCTACTGTGTAGTTGCCAGGGGTTTGTTTACTCAACTGCAGATGGTTTAGGCCTTTATTGACACATGACAACATCCATCCATGATCTGAACTGTTTTAAACTTCACGTAAAAGTGTATTGGCAGTTAAAATTGTGCCCCTGGGGGCAACTGCAACTATAAGGTAGCCAACAACGGCAACAAGTTTGATACTCCTGATGTTGAATTTGTCCAGTTGACAAAAAAAAAAAAAAAAAAATCACCTCTGTATTTGCACATTCTCCACCTCTGTTGACTTCACTCGTACTGCAATGGAAGTTTGCAGCTAAGTACGAGGTAGCCTGGACAAGAATCAGCACAAGGTGGTTTACAGGATCCAGTTTAGAAGTCATGTCAAGATGGCCGCTCACACCTTGGAGCAAATGAGCCTCATGTGACCATGACAGTCAATAACAGAGAGCATCTCCCATCAGAATTTTTTTAAACAGCTTTTTAGCTTATTAAAGAGAAAACAACCAATATTGGCCTTCGATTAAACTTTTGTGGATTTGGGTCTTGTTTGACTGTGGTCACTAAGACCCAACTGCCAACTCCATGAGCAAGGATGTTTGCATGTGGGTCAATACCCACAGGATGAATAAATTTCTCAATCTTGTTATAAGTCTTAACTTCAGCTCTGTTACCGTGATCAAATAATCAGTATATGTCCTGAAATGATCGCTTCAATATGTCTTCCATTTTGAATAAAGTAATCCTGAGCTGTGCATGGCATCACCAAAAAATGTCGCATGGGGAAGGTTCAAGGCTCGCAACAAGGTCGCTTGAGTGTACTGGAAAGCGTGCTAAGAAGTGAAACATCACATGCAATTTTAAAATGTCTCCTCGAGGAGACTGAGACTTTGAATGTTTGTGATACAATTGACATTATTGAGTGATTGCAATGAAATTCTGGGGACGTGTCTTCTACCCACATAAATTAAGAATCTATTCACTTGATATATTACTTTCATTTCACTTTCCTGTGAAAATATTGCCAAGTGATATCTCCGACACAGGCAGATGCTGAATCTCTGCCACGTTAACAAATTCTTTAATTAAAGGCAGTTTTGTCTATTTGCCTCTCCACTGACGGGCAGTTAGCACCACAAGTTATGGTCACTCAACAACCTCCCTCACTCACGTCAATGACTCATTGACACCACTTGTGTTATGACCCCAGAGACAGGCTAATATTGTCTCCTTAACATTTTAGCCTGTACTCTGTACTGTTATTATTAATAGCTATAGGAGTCACTTTCATGCATCCTGCAATTTGCATCAATAGCATTGTTCGCTAATAAAAACACTATTAGCGAAAAATACACAAAGACAATCACAATGTGTACGCTGTTATGACGACTTGAAGAATGTACTTAAGAAACGGGACGTCGACCAGCATCCCATAGACTGTGTACAACCTTTTGAGGTTCCACTGTATCGCGCCATAGATCTCCTTATCTTACTTGGCTCTAGTGTGTTGCTCTGCATTCCGGCACTGATCCCAGCGACCTGTCCCCCGTGACCCACCAGCCGCACATACACATCCCGCGCAGTGTGGTTGGCGATGCGTAGATGGAGGCTGCGCTGGGTGGTGATCTTCACTTGGCACCTCAAGGCCTGCGCCACGACCACCGACGATGATGACGGCAGGTCCTCTGAGGTCTCCGTCGGATAGTACACTTCCAGGGGCCCGGCCTCTCCCTCTTTCGCAACCTCGGCCTCTATCTCTTCTGGCGGCAGGGTACAAGTGTTACCACGGTCAGGTCGCTCGGCCCCTTCCGACTCCAAATTGATTTGATCAGTGCCATTCCGGTGCTCAAGAACCTCCATCATTGAGGCTGATGATAAAGCTCAGATCCAACCGTCCACTGCGACGCCCCAACATAAACTGACTGGACGGTGTCTGGAATCTGAACACACACATGCCTCTATGTACACACTTGAAATACAGTGGGCGACACTGACGAGATACATTCTCTCTTTCTCTCTCTCTCTCTCTCTCTCTCTCTCTCTCTCTCTGATCCACAGCCTCATATGAATGTCAACCATCTTAACAAAGACTGCAGGGGCATTAGAGGCAGATCAACCAAAGCTTCATGTTCTAAATATAACCAAGGGAGTCCTAGTGGGAGAGGGGCAACTAATCTAACTGTGATTACAGTGAGGCGGGCCTGACCCCGGATGGGATGGGGATCATTTTCCTTTTCCTCTCTTCAAGTCAGTTCGCCTGAAGGTCTTTCCCAACATTTGCTGGACCCCAAAAGTGCACCGTTCAATGGAGATATGATGGCTTTGTCAAGAGAGGTACCCTCAAAAAGTTGTGCTTCATGGACAGAAGCCAGTCAGTCTCTAAAGACTTGGGACTTGAATCAAAGAGTCTCAAGTTAAAGTTCCACTGCGGACGAGTAACAAAATTATTGTAAAATCTCCGTATTATTTATTAAACATGACAATTTGACATTCTGGTACAGATCCTAGCAAGTTGACACACGTGATTTGCTTTCATGGGCCACATAAATAGACCTGGCGGGCCGGATCTGGCCCCCGGGCCTTGAGTTTGACACCTTTTTTTTTTTTTTTATTTTTTTATGAGGGTTCAGCTGCCCAGTCACTAAAGATCTGGGCTTTGGTATGCATGCTCAAGTCGCACTGTGAATGAAAAGTGAGGCTGGTTGTTGGAGAGGACAGCAGCTCACTTGAACAAGGCACTGAAGTACGAAAACAGTGAATGAACGTACCTCCACCTTTTGGACCAGAAATGCACAACCTGAAATCATTCCTTCAGGATCTTTAGCACTAAGTGATTAGTGAATATAAATTGATTCCAAATGCACCCCCAACCTAAATGTCATTGTTCATATTCTTTTCATGGGTTGACTGCTTGTTAATGGGATTGGATTCTCAGGAGGTTTGGTTTTTAGGGACGGTGGGTGATTTGGACCGGTGGACTGCAGGTATCACTGCGGATGAAACTACATTAAGACATATGCATACGAACTACGTTAGCGGAGATTTTACCAAGAGGGGCAGGAAATGACCACTACTGTACCCCTACCTATGACAGTGTGTCATTAAAGTCCAGTCGTTTCCTTGACAAAACAGGACATGGCAGAAGTGTAGTTCAATCCCCATAAGAACATCCATAAGTGATAGCCGAGTGTCAGTGTGTGGGGACAGGCTGCACAAACATAACAAGGTCAACGCTGACACCGGGTCAGCTTCCTGTTTCTCTTCGAATGTCGGAGATTAGAGCTCTCAATATAGACGGCGATTCTAGATGTCAGTGACACTTTATCCCGATGTCCTTGCCGTCGGTTGTTGACGCTTCCAAGGTGAAGTTGTGATGGAAACCAACGAGATTGAACTACCGCTGAAGATCCTTCACGTCCGCGCGGTGTCAACTCCAGCGTCCTATCATTTTACCCTCTGATGGTCATACCTGAGATTTATGCTTTATTCAGATAATAGATGGCATGAGAACGGATTATAAGGATTGGGATTGACGATGACATGAAAATGAAAAGTTGTGTAGGAAACATCACAAGACAACACCTTGTGAAGACCTTTTATGGACAGTATCAATCTGGATTTAAAAGGTGGTTCTCTGAGGTCCTATAATGCTCTGTGTGTGTGTGTGTGTGTGTGTGTGTGTGTGTGTGTGTGTGTGTGTGTCTTTGGCACAGCCACCATTAAATGTGATTCATTTTTTCCCTCCACAATTCCCCAGTGTTGTCAAAACATATCTGTGACATTCTTTTTTTTTTTTTTCTTTCGAAATACTGGATGGATCAAGAGTTACAGTACATTTGACACACCTATTTCTTGTCTTGTTGAAAACATTTTGAAGGGGCCGACCTTCAGTCCACCTTACAGCAGATACTGCTCGGCTAATTGCCAGTTGTTATCACGATGACCGAACCTGAAATTTGCGAAAGACTTGACACGCTGCTTCTTGTCATCTCGCCGATGCTGGCAAGTGAGTAACAATAGGCGGGTTCTCAAGGGCTTGTGTAAGAGTGGGCAGGAAACCGCCTGATTATTCATATTAAGATGAGATAACCTTTTGTAGGCTCACAATAGGACAATTTGCATATTAAAATTAAAGCCTCTCCATGATAGTTTTTCAGTTTAGTGTTTAATATGTAGATATAGATATAAATATGTCGAAAGATATAAAAATAAGTGTGACTGTAGAGGAAACACAAGGTCAACTTCAATGGTACCTTGACTTAAAGGGCTCCAATTGACAGTTTTTTTGAGTTATGATCTATTCCATGATTTAGGTTTATTAGTTTCTTTTTTTGCTGTCATGTAAGCCAAAATTTGAATTACCGGTGAGATTAAGCTAAACTGCAACTTGAGTGAAGTAAAAAAAAAAAAAAAAAAAAGACAATAAAAATAAGACGGTATTGTAATGTCCTCGCTTGTGGGCAAGGTAAGCCATAGTTGCTGGTGCACTTTCAGGCTGTTCATTGAGCAAAACAAAGAGTCAAACACACAAATACAAAATGAAAACACTCGCAAGGCCCTCGTTAAAGGCACACCTCCAAGACACAAATACTACAGTGCCTACTGTAATTAGACTGTATAAAATCAGTCTATTCCCGAACATTTTCTGTTTCTTACGTTTCACGTTTCCATCGAACACGGCACTATTTTCTTTATGAAAAATAGGCAACGTAAAAAATAAATATTCATCCGGAAGGAAATGGATTAGTGGCATTTCAATTTATTTCGAGTGAAAATTAATGTGAGGAAATGTTACGAGCTTGGTCGCAGAATAAATTCCACTCGTGAATCAAGGTATGACCGGATCATCATTTCGAGCTTTGAATCCTCACGTTAGAAGGGACTGAAGCATTAACAGGCAACCGTGAATGTTCTCTTCGTCAGTACAAACACATTAGAGCACATGATGATCCCATATAATTGAATTTCATGCTCGGTCTGAGGGCTCTCACATCGCACACTGCACATAAAAAATGTTGACATGCACAGAGAGGGAGAAGCGTACATACGCAGACATGGCGGCACCCTGAGGGAGGATCATGGGAAGGGTATTTTTAGCAGGCGGCAATTGCCGTCTCCAGGGAGACCGGACTGATGGAGGGACGAGAGCATCAGCTGCTCAATTAGCGTTCTATGTGAGGGCTTGCGTACGTGCAAGTGCACATATGACCTTCCTGCGTTTGTGTGTAGCGAGGAATAGAGTATCCGCCTACCGTTTTCCGCGGCTGTCTCGTCGTACTCGTTGGTCGAGGGCAGGGCTGGTACCAGAGGTTCCATATTCATGATGAGGTTTTTATGACTCAATGAGCTAAAGCTTCGACTTTGGCCAAACTGCACCCTGAAAACACAAACGTCAACTAAAACGACTGATGAGAATTGAGAGGAATTTCGAACAAAACGGGGAGACTGATAATTGGTAAAAAAATTGTCACAGGATAAAGAAATGCAAGTGTCCATCTTGAGATAGGACTTGACATTCCTTGACCCATACGGGTTGGCTCCAGAGCTGGGATTGGTGAAAATGTGCCCATTTATAATTTTAATTGGTGGGGGCGGGGGTTGTACAAAGTGTCATTTTTGTATCATTGTTCGGCCTTCAGTTTTGTGAGTTGGTAAGATTTTGTATAAAAGCACATAAATTAATTTTTAAAAAACAGCACGTTTGTAGGCTCATTTATTTATTAAATTGAATGTCATGATAAAAAAAGAATGTGGACAAGACATTAGCCTAACCACGAGCAATCACAGATTCACTATTGTTCAAAATCATAGCAAGGAAAAGCTTTTGCGCAGAAATAAAGAGCACAATACCGGGTGACCCCCGACCAAGAAAAAAAGTGAACATATATTGAAATATGCATATCTGAGAAACCACATGTCCAACGAAAGCTTCCAACAACATTTTCTTTCAGGTGAATTGTGACAATGTGAAAGCTTCAAAATTTTCAACATGGCATTGACTGCGATATAACATGCAAAATTTCTTTCTGGTAACTTTGCGGTTAATGTATCTTCTAAAAACAAATAATGTGATGCTCGTTCTGTGAAATCAGTACAAATACACTTTTTTCAGCACATTTTTTTTTCAGAAATGCTCATATAGCATTGTTTTAAGCATTTGTGTATGTTGCTGGGTTAGTGTCAATCGAGTTTTTACCCTTTCATGCTCCCTGTAACCTGATAACATGATAAACTGCCCACTGTAGTGACCGCTGTCCCTCAAAGGGTTAAAAGATGATTCTGGTTTACTTTGCTTCCAAGTTTCTCCTCAGTGTGTTTGTCTTTGAACAATGTCAACACACTTGCCGTGCGAGTAAACCTTACCTGCACACCTCAGGTGGATCTCTCTGGATTTTTGAGCTTGCTTCTATGACCTCCTTGGCTACTCTTCCACTACAAAAAAAAAAACAAAAAAAACCCACATTTCACTTTCATCAGACAGGGTCGAATTTATGAGAAAGACTTGAAGAGAATGACCTGACATCCCCCCCTTACACAAAATGTTTATCATTGCCCTTTTTTTTGTTTAAAAAGTTTCTCGTTAGGGGCTCCATAACTCCATAACAAATCAACACATTAAAAAATAAAAAAAATAAAAACGTATTCTAATTTTGTGGGATGTACCTGTACATAGAGCAGCATAATCCACACAACAATCCACATGTATTCATACGTTACGAACAATAACATTCACGTCACCTGTATCTGAACCTGCTGCCCTTGAAGAAAATGTTGCTACTGGACATGGTCTTTATCTGACTTGATTTTGCACACCTATTAGAAAGAACAAGAGAAGACACATACAAATATCTTCATGATCACAAAGCATCTTTTGCATTAAGCGCTCAACAAAGAGATTTAGAGATGTGTGTAATTTGTGTGACTGAGAAGTCGCCAGCTCGGTATGAATCAAAGTAATATTGTACGGACTTTTAATTGACCAACACAATGGTATCAGATGTTATGCTTGTTTGACATATGTGAGATTACATTAGTCTGCCTTCCATTGAGACACTTGAGCTGCATGGGAGTTGTTCCTGGAAGCGCAACGAACCGGAGAATCATTTTCCGACTGTCGTTTAAGAAAAAGAGCCATGAGAAAATAGCCTGCCAAATTATCTGTTCATACTAATTATATCACGGGGCAGAACTGGGTCAAGATTTATTTCGTGAGAGAAGAAGGGAGAAAAAAAAAGAATCATATGAAAAGAAGAAAGGAAGGAAAAAAGAAGCGGAGGGTGGAAGGGAGGTAAAATAAAAAAAAATGATAGTATGAGAGATCTGCCCAGGAAACACTTGCGGTCGACAGTCGTAGATGTTAAATCTGTTCAATATATACAACGGCAAAGTGCATTCAAAAGTGATCATTATTGTTATCTGTGTGGTGTTCTGTTTGTCATTTGGACCACACCGCACGATATAAGAGCACAGAGTACACACTCAATGATTTTTTTTTCCCCCCTTATCATCTGTCAAGTTGTTGAAAACCTGTTCACGAGTGTACCCCACTTCACAAAAGCAGAGAGTGATGCTGGCGAGACGTTTCCTTATTTTCAATTCCTGACACTTCACTCTGGCCTCCGAGCAATCAACTGCTCCCCACTCAAGGACAGTGTTGGCTTTTCAGCGAGGCGGGAATACAGCCCGAGTGATGTTTTGCAGGTTGCGTGGGCCTTAGAGGCATGAAAATAGATTGAGGGACAGCCGCAACTATTGGGTGCATTTTCATAGTGTCATGTTCTGGCTCTGTCTGTCTTTTTTTTCTTTTTTTAAATCAGAATTAAGTGTGTTCAACCTTGAAGGTTCCACTCTACAGTGTGTGTGCGTGTGTGTGTGTGTGTGTGTGTGTGTGTGAAAGAGCAAGAGAGAGAGAGAGAGAGACGCACTTGTAAAAAGCCTGATTCTCGACCCCACACTTCCACAAGTGCTTACACGCTGCAGGGGTCGAGGTGTGAAACGTCAACACCAGTTTCTTCTGCACACAGAAAGGACAGAAAGAGAGACGATAAGTTGCGAAAAAAACAAAAACATCACTGTGAGACGTTCATACAGTGCACCCCGTTCTTCGCAGGGGATAAGGAATGGACTAACCATAAAGAATATATATTTTTTTACTCTAAAAAAAATCTTGAATGAACAGGGATAGACAACCAATAAGTGTTTTCCAAGAAAAATGGGGTTTTGTTGCCCCCCCGCCCAAAAAATGATTTTATATATATATATATATATATATAGCTGAGCTGCAAATATGCGTGGGTCCACTGCACAGACACAAAGAGAGGGGGAGCTGTGCAAAAAAAGAGCGGCTGACAGCCACAATCGGGAACATAGTTGCTTAATCATCAGTGTTTAGCACAACGAGGGCAGTAGTGAGGTCCTAACAGGCCTGGAAGATAGACATATTGCTGTCAGTGCGGGTTTACAGTTGCTTCGTGCGTCTAGTAATTTGAGAAAATCAATCGATTCCGCTCAGTGCTGGGGAGAGAGATCGATGACGGGAGAATGACTCGGTGAAAGACATTGACGGGTGTGACATCACGAGCCACTGCGTACATTTGAATTGTGCCATGAGAACAAGAGAGAGCTTAACTCAATTTTTGTCATTTTTAATGAGGAACTCAACCCTAAAAGTTTCTTTACAAATAAGTTTGATGCGCCTTCAATCTGAAATCACGCTCCTGCAAAATGACAAAAATAGAGATCGTCCCCTCGCTCTTGGTGTGTTTTTTGAACGTACCGATGTCAAGATGACAATGAGATGAGCTACAAACACTCACTAGCGCCAACATTACATGACATAAGAGCACAAACTAAGACACTTATGTATAGTAATTCCCCGCTTTGCCACCTCCCACCTAAAAATGTTGAAAATCACCTACCGTATTTTCCACACTAAAAGACGCACTGGATTATGAGGCGCACCTTCAAGGAATGGCCTATTTTGTAATTTTTTTTCATATATTGGACGCATCACATTATAAGGCGCAATCTACAATGCATCCACTAGATGGAGCTACGCTCAGGGAAATACCAACAGAACACTACACTCTGATTTATATACAGTAGCGACGATCAGATGTCAGTAAAACATATTTAATAAAGCAGCGACGCAGTTCATTTAACCAACAGCAAGTTATAACATTGACTCGTTAACGTTGAACTGTCCTGCCGCAGCTCTATTTCTGTGTTCAACTGCGAAACCGATCGCGTTAAGTTTCAAATCTGGGTTGTAAGCACGTCTCTAGCAAGGAGCCATTCTGGAGTCGAAATATTACCGTAATTTCCATCCACAAGGCGCATTGGATTTTCATCCGTGCTGGGAGCTTTTAAGAAAATGGAAGGCTTTTAGGTGCGCCTTTTAGTGCGGAAAATACGGTATATTTATAGTTTCGACTGTAAATAAATTAAGACACCGAAACAGTTTTCATATAATTTCAAATGCATCTTACAACAACACCCTTAAAAATAAATGGTTTATAGATTATTTGATTCTGGAAAAAAAAGTGCCACAAGCATGCTGCAAGGATTTTCTCGAACATCCATTGAGAACCCAGGATAAACTCAAGTCCTCCCACATATACAAAGTGAAGTCAGTCAAGAGTCATCACTTCATTACAAAAAAAAAAAAAAAAAGCATTATGCGGGAGATTACTGTACACACAAAGAAGGACACCCAACAAGCAGACAATAAGCAAACAAAATGCCTCTGAATGTAACATGAGGGGCCTGTGGGACAGTGGATGTGACATGATGGTGGTGTTTTGAGGGAGATCATATCGGAAGGCTCGAGTACAACAGTGAGATGCGGTGCCAACTGCCTCCTCGTGTACTCACCAGAGACGACTACGTTTACAAACGGAGAGAAGAGACAGAAACACAAAGATAAAACGAAGCAGCCGTCATCACATTGGATTAGCGCAGATTTAGCGGTTGGCTGCCCAGCCAACACATTGGAGACCAAACCCAGCTTTTGACTTAACGATAATGGCCGTAACGGTGCCTTAACGATGCACCCAATCAGCGATGAGAGTCAGTCTCCAATGTCAAACACAATCAGCTGCGGAATGAAGGGGCACTACGCACAAATGTGAGTGAGGCATCAAAGCTGCAATTGCAACACCCAGATGTTCATGAAACGTGTACCCAAACACAGGACTGCTATTTAATGTCAAATGAATAATGGAATTTGGACAGCATTCCAAGGCAACTCCACTGGAAGAGATGAAACTGTATGAAAATATTCTGATCACAATTACAATGGCAGAAAGGATGACAGTTATCAATATTGTCATGATTTTATATATATATATAAAAATAACCAAAACAATAACAATGAAAATAAGCGACATAAAAATCCACCCCAAAATATTGCAATCATCTCGGCTGTTTGCTTTTTGTTTTGTAGCACCAAAACATATATTTCAAATATCATCTTCACTGTCTGACCACATAATCTTCTTCTACTCTCTTATACTCTGATATTTCATCACGGCTTTTTAAACCATAAATTGTTTCATCGCTGGTTCAGTGAATGTATTCTGGTCGAAGGGGCGTCTTGTGTTTGGGTAACATTGGGTCACATGATGGGAGTGAGGAGGTTAGCACACCCACCATCCTGTTACAGTGTATCCTGCCTGTTAAGGAGATCTGAAACAGTAGCACACAAATACACAGATTGTGTGTGATTGGGCATAAACAGTCGAGTTGCGTTTAAGGTCAGCAAAGGGGAAAAGCAGGAAGGACAGCAGAAAGGTCACACGAATCACAGTGACTGGGTCAACATGAGAGGTGTTAACGCGGCGATGAAGTTTCCGACTTCATCTCGACACATGAAAGAAGGAGGAGGAAGAGGTCGACGCACTCACCTCTTTTTGAATGCCGATGACGTAAAATGTTTTCCCTTCAAACTTGAGCTTACTGACGTCGGCCCTGCACAAAGCATGAAACGTGGAACTGTGAAAAGCTACAATTGGTTTGCTTATTTTTGTACTGTTTTCCCAACTGCTTTGACGAAGGGCCGCTGTATCAAAGTGGAGTCGTTATTCACTGAATAGAGTTCATTCTGTCTCTTATAATTGAACTTGTTGGTTCCTTTATCTAAGATAAGGTTTTTTTGTAGGTCGGTATTTAACCGACATGTTTCTGCGGAAGTCTTTTGCCTTCTTCGGAGTGACACATGATTGTTAGTGAGCCTTCATTGAACATCAGCTGATAAAGATGAGCCACATGTCTTCATGTGACACTCTCAAGATGGCGATCGACTTTCACCGAAACATGTCGGGTCAACAAATCACCTAAAAAAATATTTATATTTTCTTAGATAAAAGAATCAAAAGTTCATCCATCCATCCATCCTTTTTCTGATCCGCTTAATCCTCACAAGGGTCGCGGGGGGTGTTGGAGCTTATCCCAGCTGTCTTCGGGCAGTAGGCGGGTGACACCCTGAACCGGTTGCCAGCCAATCGCAGGGCACACAGAGACGAACAACCATCCATACTCACACCCACACCTAGGGACAATTTAAAGTGTTCAATCCGCCTGCCATGCATGTTTTTGGAATGTGGGAGGAAACCGGAGTACCCGGAGAAAACCCACGCAGGCCCAGGGAGAAAATGCAAACTCCACATAGTGAAGCCGGAGCTGGAATTGAACCCGCTAGCTCTGCATTGTGAGGTCGACGCGCTAACCACTGGACCACCGGGCCGCTTCAACGAGTTCAAATATAGCATATTTTATTGCGCAGCAACAAGGATACATTTCCAGTGAGTATTGACAAAGTTTTGAATGACGTACTCTTGGCTAATGACACTGGAAACTATGTGTCTCTTGTTTTGTTGGGACCTGACTGAATTTCATACTATACTACGCAGCAATGAGCGACCGGCAGTGTTTTACGTCACCCAGAGTACCGAATAGGCATTCCCAAGCAAACCCGGGACAACAAATAGTACACGCAAGTACTTGGTGTTGCTCATGAAAAAGTGTCGAGAGAAAGTCGAGTGGAAAAATTGGCACACTTGAATATTACAAGCGACATTATAACTTGCTGTTTAATTTCTTTGCTTCCAAGACACAGCATAGTGCAGATTTTTCGTTACCATTTGAGAAGATGGATCCTCTTGTTTCCCTGGAAGACCACAAAACCGGTCGCTGTGAACCCGAGGAATGCTGTGGAACCAGTGAAGTCCTGTACACAACCACACACACACAAATGCCCTCATGATTACCAAGCGACAAAACAGAGGATAATAGCTTAAAGACAAGATGGATTGAATAAAAAGTAGTACAAACTACCTTGCATGGGTGAGGGTCAACTCCGTACGTTTCAAGGTTGTGAGCCCTTTGGAGCATGTTGAGTTCCGCTAAGGCGGCACATTGACCCCTTGTGTGATGGAGAAAAGAGACCGTATTAATTCACAAATTAACGCAAAGGACCTTCGGAAGAACACAGTAGAAGTCAAGTTGCTCACCTGGCACATACTGTCTGGATAAATGAACATTCACACTCTCATTTACAGCAAAGGACAATATTTCAATGAACCTTCCATTGACCCTCCTCTAAATTATCCATTAGGTGTGAAATTGAGTGAGAAAGTTTGTTTGTGTTTACAGTATGTGTGCTGTGGTTGGCTGGCACACAGCCCACGGTGTAAACCACCTTTAGCGCCAAGTAAGCTGGGTTATGCTCCAGTTCACCCGTGACCCTAATTAATGTAGCATTTGCATGCTGTCTGCTGTGTCTGTGTGACTTTTCTTTGCATATTCCAATTTTATCCCATGATCTAAAAAAAAAAGTGTTAATTTAAGTCAACATCTCGATATAAAGTATTTCATTGTTTGTCAGTGCGGTTCCTGAACTTGACCGGTGACCAATCGAGGGTGAATCAAATGTGGCTGGTATGCGCTCCAGCTACCCCGCGACCTAAATGGAGGTTGGACATGCGCTACTGAAAATGGATGGATGATAATCAAACAACTTTAAAAAATAAACTGTGCCTGCAGCACTATCAATCGTACAAATGTGCTATGACTTGAGTTGTTTCTTTCCTAACTTGTTTTGGCGTAGCATTAAAGTAATCACCTTCCAATGATCAACCTGCTCATCGGTCTCAAAGTCAACCCAGTCGCAAACATTTGTTTATATCCAGAGAGCAGAAAAGGCTAATGGGAAGAACGCGCAGCATCGCCTAAGTGGCGTTCTCAGCCATGTGCTGTGATTACTGTCATTTGGAGCCAATGGGGCAGACGAAGGGCGTTCTTGTCATTGGTGTGCCCCTGCGCTGTTGACAAATGAGGGATTTGTCTTTGATCCTTCAAAGCTCAGAGTGTGACAAACCTCGCAGGCTGCAGCTCAGCTTGAAACAAACATACAAACACACCCTGCAGGAGCGGGATAAGAACATCTCGTGAAGCTCACCGTGTCTACGCAGGCAAGACAGGGCAAGTGGCGTAATGCGTTTTACTTTTCAGTCAAACATACATCGCAAGCACTATCGTCAAGCATACAGCTAATCCAGAAAGAATCCAAAGCACTTTCACATTTTGTTATGTTACAGCCTCTTTAAAATTTGGATTAAACTCATTTTTAGGGGTGCGAAATTGAATAGAGAACGACAGATAACGACAATTTGAAAAAGTACAGAAGTAATATATTCTCACACACTTTGCCAAGAAGCCCGAAACGGCACCCGGGTGCATCCCATGTTCACTTTTGTACATTCAGTTGACTTGAGATCATGTAACAAGAGCCTGCATTTTGTCTTTGATGATCTTTGTCACGTTTTTCTCTTTGCCACCAGTCCACAAGCAAAAAAATGGTGTTATTCCATAAGATGTTCACAAAGATGAAATGTTGGGAGTTTTCATAAAGTCTCAGAGGAAACGCAGAGCTTTCACGTCATAACTTCACAAATTTTGGGGGAATGGTGGAAGCAGATTATTTCAGAAGTGTACAACTTTGGGGATATTCAATTTGAGAGGCTCCACTGTAAAGCGACTGATTTTGTTGATTCTAACCCAAAACAAAGCCTACAAGCCAGAATTCAACTAGGATGCTTTCTTGTTGTGAGGCAACATTGATATTTATTTCTATTTATATCCAACACAGTGTCTAAAAGCACATTTCTGATTCCCAAACCATTTTTTTACACGCCTTTAATTAATTTTCACACCATCTATAAATAGCCTCTTCCCTCCAGTCCCATCCATCCAAGTCACTTAAGTCGTTCTATTTTACATCTTCCTGTTCTTATTCAGTGCGTGTACAGATCAAACGGGCAGTAAGAAAGATGCGACACAGACAAAAGCATCCTCGTTTTTCTTACCTGAGCTCAGTCTTGTGTATGTCCATGATTTTCCTTTCCAGTTTAAGCGACTGTTTGGGGAACAGCCTGAAGTCTCGGATGTAGTCGGACGGATGCTCCTCCGGGTCATAGTCCCCCAGCTCGGCTGAACGGAGACAAAAGGGTTGAGGTGAATACAGGACGACACAGGTGTCAAACTCAAGGCTCATGGGCCATTCACGTGGCCCATAAAATCTTGACACAATTTTTCCCTTGGCTTCTGTTCAAAATGAGCCATAACACGATAAGAATAAAATGCAGGAGAAAATATCTGTATGTATTATCATGTTCAGTTTTGAAGATTTTCAGCACAGAAAACAGCCACGAGTAACTATGACACACTGTAGCTACATGCGTAGCTTGACATGTGAAAACAAAAAAAAAAAAAACGAACTAAAAACTACCTTGGTACAAATGAAACTAGCAGTGGATTTAAAGAGCCTCTCCGGGGCAATTCAGCTGGAGCCAACTCAATAACAAATGTCATGATTAGTGTTTTTATAGCACAGTAATTCTGACTGTTCAAACTGTTGGTGTTATGTTGCTTGTTTTTGTTTTCTGTTGATCGACGATCTCGCAGTTTCGTTGGTGATCGATGGTGGGCGGAGACAGCTCGGGGGCATCTGCTGGCAATTGCAATCAAGAGTGGTTTTAAAGGCCACCTGCAGTGGAAAGCAGTTGTTGGATTATTGCACTTGCTTACTGTGATGGCGTCCCAGTCAATTTAGTGTTAATTCTGGAGTGCCCGAATTCCTTGTTCCATACTACTGCAATGTTTTGTTTGTCTCCTATTCAAGTATTCTTTCTGCTTCGACTCCGTGCGCCAGCATGTCCTTACTTTTCTGTTCAATTTCTGATCGTGCTTTTTGGAGCCCTGAACTGATCACCAGGCAATGGCAGAAGACAAATTATTGATGTCTAAATTGCAAAATTTAAGCTGTTGATATTTTATTGTAATTGTCATTCAATCTATTCTAACATACAGTAAACATAGGAGGTTTTTTTTTCATATGTTGTTCCCTTATTGTACAATCCAATACAATGTATCTTTATTGATATAGTGCTTTCACAACAGCTTTAGCTGTAACAAAGTGCTTTCCAGAACATTTAACATTTAACGTAAAATAATAATACAACAGAGCACATAACATAAACCATCCATAATAATACAATCGTAACAACTGTTCCGATTTATGCCTTTGTTGTTTACTTTGGAGTTAGCCAATCCTCCATTAAGCATCTCCAGTGGGTCCAGAATGCTGCTGCTCGCCTCTTGACTGGTACTCGTAAGAAGGAGCACATAACTCCGACTCTGGCATCCCTTTACTGGCTTCTTATACATTTTAGAGTTCTTTTTAAGATCCTATTAATTGTTTTCAAATCTTTAAAAGGCCTCACCCGAACTTACCGCTCCTCCGCCCCCACGCATCTGACTGATGCGACAGGTCTGCGGACCAGACACGATTAGAGGTACCAAGAACTAAGCGGAGGCTCAGAGGGGATCGAGCCTTTTCTGTTGCTGGTCCCTCTATTTGGAATGACCTCCCACTGAATGTCCGGCAAGCCCCCTCGCTGTTCATCCTTAAAACTAATCTCAAAACTTCATTTTTATTCTTTGGCTTTTGACTCAGCATGAGACTTGATTTTTAGTTTGATTGTTTTTGTGCTTTCTGCCGTCTTTGTTATTAATTTCTTGTTTTATTGTTTGTTGTTGCATAGATGATTTTTGCTCCATGTAGAGCACTTTGTATACAGCAGTTGTTTTAAAGTGCTTCATAAATACAGTTGAGTTGAGTTGGAGCGGTTCTAGATGAAAGAGGAGAGAATCAAAGTCGCCTTTGCAAATGTGAACAAACCGAGGTGTGCACTGAACCGTGAACACCACACATTGATTTAACCGAGTCTTTATTTCTTCATCGAAGCAAGATATTTTGGACCTTTGTTTTGTTCCCAACTTTGTTTGAACAGTTTCTGTGCCCTTGTGCACAAAACAAGGTCCATAAAAGCATGCTTGATGGTTTTGGTCTGTAACAAGCCCATCAGAGAGAATATGAATGTTCTCGATGGGAGGACAAAAATTCCCCACAGACACACTTGGTTATTTTCCCAGAAGGGAGGAAGCTCCATATTTTCTTCCACTTCCTGTCGGCATAATGACTGAGTATCCCAATACTTTTGTCCACCATGCATTGTGAACCTGTAGTCATGAGGAACTGTAACACCCATAGCAGTCGTCGTCATTCCTCCATCATGTTGCTCTCCGTTAGAAACTCCAACTGTTATTTTGCATTGATTTGTACACAATTATTAATGATGGTTTTTTTTGGAGTCCAGTCAGCCATAGAAGTGGAGCCATGAATTTGTGAAGTGACCCGTGAACATGCAGGGGATTACTGTAAAGCCCCTATCTGTAAACACAGGAACGGTCCCAACTGTCTTTGAAATCCAGTCTTAATTACAAATCAGCGTAATGATGAAATCAAAGCGTTGCCTAATTAAAACTAATCCACAGCTCCAAAGTTATCGCCCTAAAGGGGGTCGTCTTCATTACATCGTGACAGTTGGAAGTGAGAGAACTCTTCTGTGGCTCCTGTGCTTTCACATGAGCCAATCACAGAGCGCCCGACCAGACATGTTCATTTCTAACAGAACAAGTCTCGCCAATCATTCCTAATCCGTGCCCAAAGTCCCCTCAATCGCGAGTTTGTGATTCAGTGTTTCTAAGTGAAGGGGTGTGTGTTCCGTGTCCGATTGGCACAACTTGTAGTGGGAGTTACAATTAAAAATATACAGAGAAAAGTAAATGTATTGCGCTGGATAGAAAATCCTGCCCATGTTTTCACCGCACCTATTACATAAGAAAGCGTAGCCTCCACTAGCGCTATTTGGAGAAAATGACAAGAGACAAATATGGACAGAAAAGGAGTCACAGCTCAGCACAGTCTCCAAATCAACACAGATTGCACAGGTGGATGCAGAGGCGGCGCTCCTGATGTGCAGCAAAAGAGCAAAACTGAGCGCTCCGCATCAGCGCCGATACAGGGCCGCTCAGCGTAAAATTGCCAATCCCAGTTTTCGCTCTAGTGACAACTGTGTCAATGTGGACTACAATTATTGATCCCAAAAAAATGGCCTCACCCTGCACAATGCACGCGCCCAGATAGGCAGCTTCCGCAAAGGGACAGAGGAGACGGCCGTGGTAGACGTCTCTTTTCAGCTGGAGGTAGAGCAGGTACCTGCAGACGTAAGGAGGGAAAAGAGAATCAAGATGCAAATGCAGAGGAAATACCATTTGCATTTTAGGAAACAAGGTTCATATTGTCTTTTCTTAAAAGTATGCGGCATAGGTTTCTATGTATTCAACAGCAAAACTGACATGTCAGGTAAATAAAAACCATTCTCTGCTGTCAAACCATGTCTAACCATGTGCAATTGTTTTCATGCTTTTTTGCATTAATTAGCTGAAATCCTGAGTGGAATTGCAAAACCCCCCCCCCAAAAACCCAGAATGATGAAATACAGATAAATCATCCCGCAACACATCCCATGACCTCAAATCCAGCTAATGTGAAAACATTTTCACCACCCGTTTTCACAATCTGTCATGACCGAAGCACATGTGACGCTGCGATATGACATACACAGAAACAAACACACTTGGGGTGGCATAAGTCTGGAAACGGAAATGACATTTTAACGGCGGGCAGTGTGTCGCGTTGCCAAGGAAATAAAAAACGACGGCGGCGCCGCAGCCAGGGGATGCATTTGTTGCCATAGTTACCGAGGCGGGGACGCCGCTAACGCGTCCATACGAATTTGATGAAGCGCCTGACTACTGTCTGTTCTGACTCGCGTGATATTGTGCGACATTTCCAGCACCATATTTCAGATCAGCCCATTCTACGGGCGCAAAAACGTCATTTTCTTCAGGCAAAGCAGGGGACATCCTTTAGTAGTACATGGAAAAACAAAAGAAAATCACATTCTTTTTCATCACCGTTCTCGCCAATACAGTGAGTCCTCGGTTTGCAATGGCATTACAAGGCGCGAAAATATGCTTGTCTGAACTAGAGGTGTTTTCTTTATTCATATTTATTGCAATTATGACTTTACCACTGTGTTAACTTAAGCATAAGTTAGTGACAGACTATGGCAGATTCCGATTTAGTTTACAAATGAGTTTATAGGAAAGAACGGAACGAACCTCCATTTGCATTTAATTCTAAATTGTTCGTGTTCATTCCCGGAGAGCGTTTCCATATTTTCTCAGTTACCGTGGCACCAATCGCTGAGGAGAGCAGTTATTGTGTAAAGGGTTCTTGTACCTTGTGAGCTCCTCTTTGATCTTCATTGGCTCGTGTGGGTAGAATTTGACTCTGAAGCACATTGTGAAGGGCTGCAGAGCTGTGGAGACACACAAGACGCGCGCAACACACACACACAAACAAATTGGGAACATTTTCTTGATGCTCTTCATGGTCAAACTTTCAGATTTCTTCCGTTGTAATTATTGACACCTAGCTACTATTTTCTGTATTATTGTGATGACATGACCATTTGTTAAGATGGTAGGTTTATAGAGTATGTCGATATTCAGTAGGTCACCTTCCAGGCCACAGAACAACAATACCGCACCTCCCTTTGTGGATTCTTCCCTCTTTTATGAGTAATAAGGCCTATTCCCAGAAGTGCACTTTTACATCCGTTAAAATTGATACAATTAACAGCACCGTATTGTGATTATTGCTTGTACAATGAATATTTTAAAAACATTTACAGGTGAATTTGTGAGTAGTGAACAACCAATGGGATATTTGTGCAGAATAATTCACATTGATAGATTGCAGATTAAATCTGTGTTGAATTGATTCAAATCTTTCTGTGGAGAGCGAGTAAAAAGAGCAGAGATTGGAGCTGTTATTTTAAATGGGACCATCACAATTGTGAGCCGATTATTCCGTTAAAAAGGGGGATTGTCAGATGCCTTTGAAAACCGAAATACTCCCCCCGCCCCACACACTCACCCTCAAAAAACATGAGCAGCTTACTGGCCGAGATGTTTCTTGAAACAAAGTTGGCACATGTATGCAAATGTGACGTCAATGTCCGAAATAAAAATACGTCACGTCCTAATTTAAGAGACAACTCCGCCACAGGGAGAAGAAGACACGTCAGGACGACTCAGCGCCTCTCTTTCTTTTCTTCATTTTCCTCTCTCTCCGTCCCTGTCAACAGAGCTCTTCGTCTCCGCTTTCCTGTCGTTCTTTCTTTCTTTAGCCACATTATCTATCAACGTCTCACATTTCTCTATCTCGATCTCTCGGGCTAATTCCCTGGCACATGTTCCACCATTAATAGCCCCGTTCCGTTATCAGTTTAGACCAGAACAGGAAGAACAGGCCGGCCATTAAAAGATGCCAAGAAGACGCAAGGAAGAGAGAGAGGACAGACAGGAAAAAGGGGTTCTTCCTCGCACGGAGGCCAGAGGCATTTATTTTTCTACAAGAATATAAATGCATTATTGGACTTAAATGTTTTCAAGTCGTCAATAAATATTAATGATGCTAAATTAATATAACATGACATGATGTGTGGAAGGCAGATGTGTATTACGAGAACACGTGTACCTTGTATTTCCATGTGCTCCGTTTTTACTGTGCGATAATCAATTCTGTCATCAAATCAAATTTGGATTATTATTTTTCCAATGTTTTTTTTCATTTTCAAATTGAAAATCAAAATAATAATTATAAAATACTGTATATATTTTCCAAAAATATAAAATAACACAATTGTTTTCATGTAAATTTGTATGGATTATAAATTTTAGATCTTTTTTTGGGGGGGGGTCATTTTTAATTTAATGTTTTCCCCTCGGATGCAGCAAAAGGAAGCAAATATCTTTTTTGCATGACTGTTTTATACCATTACAATATATATTATATCCATCTACTTAATCACATCCGTCCACGCATAAATCCATGAAAATGACTCAAGAAAGTGCACTTACATTTCATCTGTCGAACCACAGCTTTATTCGGCTCCAGCCAATGCTTAAAAAAAAAAAAAGTTAAATATCAATGTCACATTATTACACGCTGTTGAATAGTACACACTCACAAACCCGTTTAACAACTCATCATTAATATTAAAAACATTTCAAAGCTCTCCACAGTTGAGATGAATTACCACCTCAACTGCTGTTTATCATCACAAACGCATAATTTTAAGCAATGATGTATTAAAGAACACTTCATCATTAGGGCAGCATCTTCATTTATGTGTAGGTTTAAAAAATGCTTATAAAAAACACAAATGAATGAAACAAGGGCAAATAGAGAAAATGGCTGTGCATAGATAGCTTAATAGCTAGCAAGCAAGCTAGCTAGCTAGCTGGATAGATAGATGCGCATATGTGTGTGTGTGTGTGTGTGTGTGTGTGTGTGTGTGTGTGTGTGTGTCTGAACATGCCTAAACTATTGATTACATCTCTCTTCTGCAGATGCAATATTTATTATTAAAAGGCTAACATCAGCAAGTGTGATGTTTACCCTCTGTTTCTCTGGATCCACGTAGCGAATACCAAAGTAATCCTTCTCGAGGAGGTTGTAGTGATTACACACATGGTCGAACAGGAACTGGCCCTTGGTGTCTCTCTAGGAAGAATATACAGTACAAAGAACTTTAGAATTTATGGTGCATTATTTTTTACTCTTTAAAACACTTCGGAGGTGTCTTAATGGTGTGTGTATGACATGCTTTCATCAAAATATCCCAAGGATCAAGCGCGCCAAATTTTATATTTTTACCTCACATTTCGTGACATGGTCAAATTGTCTTGTTTAACAATATTGCAATATCACAGGTAGATGGAGGATTTCATCACCAAGCCACCAGATCACAGTAAATATATTTATAATCTTGGAATGCAAATTATATGTTTACATTTACACAACTTGTTTTCAAAAATAAAATGCTTTACTCTCGTCAAATTATGCCTTTAATTTCCTTCTTTTTTCAGAGGGGTTCTACCACAGATTTAGCTCACAAAATCTGAACATTGAAATATGTTATTCTTGAATTATTTATAAAGCAGAAGCACAAAAACAGGAATAACATTGCATGAAAAAAAAATTCAATAAAACTGACCAAGCTGTCTGCAGCATGAACTAAGATACTGTGTACAGGTTCTTTGCTTCACAACTGGTTATTGGATGAAAGTGTTTTTACTGTACATGACAGACGTTCACTGTGGGGGCATGAATAGATCTATGTCAGGTGTGAGCGTGAAGGTCGTATAGTTCATAACCCTCCCTTGGTTGGCGCTGACTTCCGAAATGGAAGTTCTTTTGGGCTGTAAACCAAACGCTTGCTATTTAAGCTGACAAATCCCATAAAATCCACCCCTCTTCTTTTTCTCGGCTGCTTTGTAATCCCAGCCAACACTTCCCTGTTGGCTTCAACTCTGCCGTGCAGTTTTATGATTGTAAATATCATAATAATAATGAGAAAAGCTTCAGCAGCTTTGTGGTGGTGATGCATCTGCTGAGAGAATGGAGTGCCAGTAAATACAGGCCGGATGTTCGGTCCATAAAGGCAATCCAGACACGCAGAGAGCGATCAATAAACACTCTGCTCTTCAGTCAATATCTACTCATCATGTAAAATGCACGCGAGCAATACGAGAATGTAGAGTGCAAACACCTGCCAAGGCTGAACCATTAAGAAAAGTGGGGAAAAATATTGTGATAAGAGAACCAGACCAATGATGAATGGCCCACATGAGATGGAATATGCAAAAAAAAAAAAAAAAAAAAAAAAAGAAGCTTGAATTTGTTTGTAAAAGTACCATCCATTTTATGTATTGCTTATCGGGCTGTGGTTGAGAAAGAGACTATCCTAGCTGACTGTGGGCGAGAGACAGGGTACAACGTCAAGCTCTGGAATTCGCCTGAAACGGCAGCTTAAAAGTGATATTTGGCAGATTCCTCTTCAATTTCATGCATGGGCCAGAGACTTTTTGTGCATGGCTATTATGATACATCCCCCCAATTTTCTGACAATTGGTGAAGTCAAAATTCTCCTTCCAATAAAGACAGAAACACCCACAATGGTCATTTGAACTGACAAAATATCTAATAAATAAAAATGTACAGAAAATTATCTCATTAGAATTGTTGGAATTGGTCCGACAAAAAAATGCCACGTATAGCAAAGCAGCCCCAGATCATTACTGGGCCTTGTGATCCTGTGTATTCCTAACTCACGAACTAACGAACTAACTAACGAACTAAATAACTAAACAGAACAGTTGCTGATCTTATGATTTGAACCAGAATCTTTTCTTGAACATTTAATGTACCTGTAGCTAGACATGAGGACAACATTGTTGGCGCCCTTATGTTAAGAAAGAAAAAAGACACATTTGTCTCTGTAATAAGACAGAATTTTAAGTAAGGAAAACCAGCCATTGCTTTAGAATTGGGAGAACCATGCCGGATGTGGCAAAGCAGCCCCAGAACACAAATGAGCCTGGGAGTCTTGCATGAAGTAGCTAACTTTAACAAGCTAGCGAACCAACTATAACTCAATGAAATAACTTGACAAAAGCAAGAATGAATTTAAAGAAACTTAAGTAATGAAATTCAGGCTTTGCTTTTGAATTGATGTCTGAAAGAATGAGAGTTGAGAAATAACCTGAAACTGACAAAAGCAATGACAAATTTGAGTGGTCTAACAAAATTCTGCTCGATGCAACTAACGATTATCAAAATGTGACCTCAGGGAATTTGCGCAATGCTGAAGAGAAATGTTGCTGCTTTCATTAAAAACATGAATGTCAATTTTTACTTTTGTCAACAAAAACATGTTTAACAGCTTTGTGTTTCTATTTTGAAACCCCACCCCCAAAAAAACAACACATGCACATCACAGTGGCCACAGGAGATACTTGTTTAAAACACAAAACGAAGAGTCTACGCAGGATAACACAGAAAATCTCGTTATGTCAAAATAATCATAAAAGCGGATTTAGGTGATTAGCATGGACATTTTTCCGATGACGCTGTAGCATGATAGATATTTTTTCTGTCAGGTCTTTCGATAATAAAGCCTGACTCTGCCATTTTGTCACATCATGTGTCCCCTCTCGAGTGCTATAGCAATCAGTGTTGGGCGCATGTCCTCTGACTGCTCAATAACCTGCTGATGGAGGTTGAATTTGTGCTCAGTTAAGCAGGACTGATTGATTTGAGTCCTCCGGGCATTTGCTGAGATTTACTCGTTGGTTCACCGGGACACGCACCCACACAAACAAACGTCAAAACAAAATGAAAACGCACGCACAGTTTGAGTGAAATGTCTCGGTCCATATTTGTTGAGGTTTTTTTTCATATGTCTTCATCCATCCTTCTTCTTTCTCATCTCAATCTCCCCCGACAAAAGCGCGAGGAAGCCGTGAAATCGCAAAAGAGAGGAAATGTAAGCACCCGAACGCTGCCAGGGAGGCTGCAGACGGATCATGGAGTCACACTCGTCCTCATCCCCGGGGCAGACACTTGAGGACAGACAACAGAGGCAGCGTGAGAGGCCAAACACGGCGGGAGGACGGCGCTAAATAAAAAAGACGCCTGACTCACAGAGAAAGAGAGGGGTTGAGAGTCTATGTCATGTCCAACAAGAAGGAAATCCATTTTTTATATTGTCAAAAGGCCTGGATATTAAAAATTAACCCGGTCAGTCTCAACATGAGCCTCACTTAATGATGGCAAAGTGTCCTTCTTTCTGGTTCACATACACACACTTCAAAAGAGCCCACAGTGCAGAGTGGCTTCAGTTTAACGGGAGCAAAGTCCTGCACACTACAGCAAGTGTGTGTGTGTGTGTGTGTGTGTGTGTGTGTGTGTGTGTGTGTGTGCTTCTGGGTGCTCGACAAGCTTTGTGCAGTCAGCCACGTCCAGACGTCAAGCGATATAAAATAAAAGCACTTATGCCATCAAATATTCATTCCGGTGTCCGTCCTAAATCCGCAAAAACTCACAAAACATCAAGTATTGATGCTGGAGCATAACCACCAACCACATTGCATTTGCAATACAAAGTCACTTTATGCATTTGGGGAGGAGGGGGGGGGGACTGAAAATTGTCATATTTCATGTACAAACTGTAGATTCACTGCAAATCTGAGTGGGTAGTTCCCATAGGCAATAATGGAAATAGTTTCAGCATTTATATGACATTTCATCATGATGTCACCTGTTGCTTGGCAAAACCTCAAGCGTTCAAACACTTCCAAGTAACCCCAAAGGGTTGGGGGAAATAACTAACCCAGTGCTGGGTCCAAAAAGGGCCAAGCTATTGCTTGCGTTATTTACACCCAGTGCATCGGGGTGAGGATTTGACCCGAGGAGGGTGAAGATCTTGAACCAACAAGGGGTAAAAAAAAAAAAAAATTACCCATATTTATAAGTTAAAGCTAGCAAGAAATGTGTTGACTCATTTTCTTCTGAAGATTTTCTAAGAAGAAGAAGAAGCTGTTTGACGTCGAATCTGTTTTGGTAAAAACCTTTGTTATCTGTACTGGTAATGTTTTAAGTCAAATTTTTAGATGTATTTGAAAATAAGATTCACTGACATATTAAAGAGGGCATATTATTTATGAAGGATTTTTTGTGTGCTGCCTATTTTCATCAAATGTGTCTTTGAGCGAGCCCTTCTACACTTTAAAAACGACTGCAGGCAACCTTCAATCGTCTGTCTGTTTGCGTTTTGAAGCTGTAATAGTGAGCCGTCGCTTTTTATCACCCAATATTACGTTTTTGCCGCAGACTTTCTGCAGGCTGGTTAAAAAAGTAAATGAATAAAAATCTTCATCCTGACTTCATACCAAGATTTTAAGAGGGCATTGTGTGCACGCCGAAATTTGCATTTCGGCAATTTCAGTGTTTGACAGCAGTTGAAGAAGAAAGAATTGCTATCCTTCATGGCGATAAAGTACATTTTAAAACACTTTTGCTGTTTTGCCATCACTGTGCACTTCTACGGCGTCACAAAAAATCAAAAATAAAAAGACATTGAGCAGAAGTCTCACCAATTATGCTGTAGTTGTGTCAATTATTGCATATGGGACGCAACACTTTCTATTGATCAGACAGTCGTCCCAACACTTTTCTTTTTCCCAGGCACGAGGACCCTCGGTCGTGTGGCCCACTTAAGTGGCTGATGTTGTTTAATTAATACGCATGTCAGCTCGATTATGGCTGGTCCTTATCCACTTTAGCTGTTTCTTCTCATGGCACGGCCCAGCTAATTGGCTCAATGTACAGCTGAAACTTCATGAATTATAAATAAAGAGGGGGCGGGGGGGTGCAGCCGAGGGAAGGCGTGGTGAAGTTGATGAGACTTTAACAACAATGACATAAACAGAGATTAAGGATACGTGTGGAACAATTCTTTTAGCTCTTAAAGTCAGCGTATGAGCCGGCTTTACTCAATTTTCTGCTCTTATTAACGCGGAAAATCATTCAAAAGCCTGTTTGTGTTCAGGCTCATGTCAATCGGGGTGCTTTAAGTGCTCTATTGGGGGAACGTCAAGTAGGTTCAAGGCTATTATAGTTTACGAAAATTAACAAAAGAAGTCAAACTTAAATTGAAAAAA